TCACAGGTGTGAGCCACCACACCTGGCCAGAGACCTCATCTCTAAAAAATTTTTTTAAAAGAACTGTCTTAAAAAATAAAGTAGGGATAAAGTGCCACTTCCATAATACTGGTAAAGTCGCCAATATGAAGTAAGGAATGCATGATGAAACTTTGAGGTTTTCAGCAGCACTGTTCTCTCGGGCTGTGACACACTAAATCCTTAGAGATAAACTGCAGGAAGACATGGTGAGGCCCTTTGGTCAGAAAACCAGCAGAGTAAATTTGATGCAATGAGGCTAAGAATGCAGTGAGGGTGATGTAATTAATACTTGCAGGATGAAGAGTCTGATCGTCCTGAAGATGTTCCTAGTGGCTATAGCCCTGACGGCCAGGAGTGCTGGACGTTGTCAGAAGGGATGTCGTAGAATGCTGCATGGTGCGGTGGAAAACGCACTGGGCTTAGCGTCTGGGACCTGAGTTGGAGATGTGGCTCCTTCATTTGCAGCTTTGCCATTGGTGAGCCTCTTAGCTTCTCCGAGGCTGTGGGGCAGCTCCCCCAGCCTCAGTTCCCTGCGTTCCTGTGGGGATCACAGAGAATGAATGTGACACCTCTTGATAAACTAACACACTGACCATGCACAGTGTTTTCTTATGGGAAACAAAACTGAAAACATCCTACCCTAATATAAAACTGGTGTCTCTGATTCTAAAACCAGAGTTGTATAGAGTTATGGTCTTTGTTCTGTCCCGAAGAAACTGTAGGGATTTGAGTGTGATCCAGGGAAGCATAAAATAATTGCGGTCGTAGGCGGCTGTCCTTAGCAAGGTGGCCTGTCTGATGGGTGCTCTCATTGGGAAGGATGAGGCCTGAGAGTCAGCTTATGATCAAGTTACTAAATCACGAAGAGGAAGGGCAACACAGGCTGATTTGGTCACCAAATCTTGGATACTCTAGAAGGTTGTCTGATGGAATTTGAAAGACACAAGTTTATCGTACAGGACAGCATTCTACAACTAGTAACTAAATTTATGAAATTTCTTATCCCAAGGAGTAATTAACATATAGTAAAATTCATAATTACCATAGCTTCAAAAAGTTTTAGACATTCCTGGACCTTCATCAATTAGGACAGTCTTGGATGTTTTGGCGTGTGGCTCTTGCCTTTTAAGGGTGGTGCCATCACACTGTGCTCTCCCACACCTGTTCCTGGTGTTGGTCTGGGATGGGATGTTGGGCTGAGTGGCTGTGAGTCTAACCCTGGGAATTCTTGGGAATTCCTGGGTGAGCCACGGTGTCACTGGGTGCCCTGTCTTTTCTGAGGCCCGGCTGTGTTAGATGCCTTCATAATATATAGCTAGACAGAGTCTGCCCAGGTTGGGACTTATCAGCCCTTCTGAAAATACAGCCTTTCTCATGAATCAAATTTGCATTTACATCCTGCCACAAACCACTTTCTAATCATACTTTGGAACCATGTTCAAATCCTGCCAATGTGGTTTTGTCTTTAGGTGGTTTTTATTTTTGTTTTTCTGTGTGTGTATGTATGTGAGACAGAGTGGGCTGGAGTGCAGTGATGTCATCATAGCTCACAGCAACCTCAAACTTCTGGGCTGAAGCGATCCCCCTGCCTCAGCCTGTCAAGTAGCTGGAACTACAGACGCACATCACCATTCTTGGCAAATTTTTTTATTTAAAAAAAATTGGGGACTGGGCGCAGTGGCTCACACCTGTAATCCTAGCACTCTCGGAGGCCGAGGCAGGCAGATCATTTGAGCTCAGGAGTTCAAGATTAGCCTGAGCAAGAACGAGACCCCGTCTCTACCAAAAATAGAAAAAATTAGCTGGGCATGGTGGTGCATGCCTGTAGTCCCAGCTACTCAGGAGGCTGAGGCAGGAGGATCGCTTGAGCCCAGGAGTTTGAGGTTGCTGTGAGCTAGACTGACGCCACGGCACTCACTCTAGCCTGGGCAATAAAGTGAGACTCTGTCTCAAAAAAAATAAATAAATAAAAATAAAATAAAATATATTATTTCATGTAATTCTTACATGGTCCTTTGAACTGCAGTCATGCGCCACATAACGTTTGGTCAACAGTGGACCACGTATATGATGGTGGTCCCATAAGATAATGATACTGTATTTTTACTGTACCTTTTCTATATTTAAATATATAAATACTTACCATTGTGTTACTGTTGCCTACAGTATTCAGTACAGTAACATGCTGCACAGGTCTGTAGCCTAGAGCAACAGGCTATACCATATAGCCTGGGCATGAGATAGGTTATCCCGTCTAGGTCTGTGTAAGGACACTCTCTGAGGGTCACACAACAACAAATCACCTAACGTTGTGTTTCTCAGAATGTGTCCCCATCACTAGGTAATGCATGACTGTAGTTATTAACAGTCCCACTTTACAGATTAGGAAATGGGTACAAAAAGGTTAAAACTTGCTCCAGGTCATGTGATTAATATTAGAGCTGGTATTTGAGCCTTTCTGCCCTGTTCCTACCAGGATACTCACTGTGGCTCCTAGTGATGGTAATTCAAACTTTTTCAGCAGTGATGATTATCTTAGAAATATGTCTTTCTCAGACTTCTCACGCATTCTGTAAAATACGTAGATATACGCGAATATGTGTAGGGAAAGCCTTTCTCAGAGGACCCACAGCACTCATCGGATGTTTGACTAATCTTCATACCATTTCTGTAAGATGAGTGGTGTTTTCTGGCCAGGCAGCTGAGGCCCAGATAGGCTCCAGGACTCACCCAGTTCCTTATCACAAACCCACATGGCCCAGCCCCCAGTTCCGTTAGTCCTGTCTAGCATAGATTTCACCACTTTTGTTCTTTCCTGTTTTACACCAAGATTGTTTAAGTACTTCCCAAAAATAATGAGCCACGTGTGGGTGTGTTCATTCTCCAGAATGAATCACTGTGAAAGAGGCCGTGAACCAAGGGAAGAAGCATAAATATCTGGAATCGGAGGCTCCTGCCTATTCTGCCCCACTAATGGGTGGACTGTGAAGTGAGCTCTTTTCTGAAAGGCGACTGTGGGTTTGGCCCTGTGCATCTCACTGCGCTCAGAATAGTCCTCTCTTTAAATTGTTAATTTTCCCTTTCTTGCTTCCCCAAATAGACCCAATGCTGTTCTCTTTACTTGGCATCACAACATGTGTATTGAGAGGTACTCTGTCCACAGGGACCCCTTTCGTGCCTGAACGTCCTCACTGGCACAAAGAGGAATGGGAGTTAGCTGTCTTGGATCAACAGGCTTCCAGCATGAGTAAAAGATGTTTGGATTAAGTATTCCGAGAATTGCAGAAGTAGATTTAAAAGCAAGAAGAATAAAAGAGGGAGCAAAGGTTTTGGGAGGAAAAATTGGGAATTCTTTAATCTGTCTTGTGTACAAGGGTTGGAATCGAACTTTAGGAGAAATTTACTTTTAAAACTGCCTTGTATGATTTGGATCTAATGGATGCCTACTTTAACTTTCTGCTTTTAAGAAATAACACTACCTAAACTCTTCAGCAGGTTGCTGCATGTTTTGGAATTTCTCCTAGAAGAAGGGAATCTGACCAAGCATGAAAAAATACAGCAGGCCATACAGTGAAGATCTATACTGTCTGTCTACCTGTCAGTGCTGCCTCTCCTTTTTTCTTGGGTGGAAATAGCAAGGGGTTGTCTCATTTTTAGAAAGCCTGAGGAGGGAGGGGTTGGCCGTGGAGTTATTTAGAATCTGTCCTTGGGTTTGAAAGCCAAGAGATGCCTTCCAGAGTATTGGAGGAAGAGACGAAGATAGACTATTTACAGCCTGAATGGGTGAGTTATGACAGGGTAGCTTTTCATGGGGTTGGTCATAAATGTCTGTCTCTAGGGGCCTTAGTGTGAGTGTATTCCCATTTGGCATCCAGATAGTATTCACTTAGTGTGCGGCCTGGGACTCGGGGTCCCCACCACCTCCATCCCCTGGTGGGTGCTTCATTCAGCACTGCAAGTCTCAGCCTCAGTATTCTGGTGGCCAGAGCTACGCTTCTGCCCATCCCAGGAGGTCAGGGCTAGGTTAGTCTCGTGGGAGACAGTGTTGGGGAGAACCAACTGCTGCTGTCTGTGCTATTCTTGTTAGTCGGATAAATAAAGGATTTCAGATTCCAGGGCTGCTGAACAGGCTTTCAGAGGCGCCAAATTCATTTACAGTAATTTCCTGTCAAATAGGACACATTATGTATGATGCATACCCACCAAAACTCCTTAGTCCCAGAGGTGATTGTGTAAACTGTCTATTTGGAAAAAATACTGTTTGTGTATGTGTGCTATCCAGGGTCCTCTCAGGATGGGTTAAACTTATTGAGCGCTGTTTTTGCATTATCTCTTAGTCCTCACAATATGTCTATGAAGTAGGTACCCAAATTCTTCTCTTTGGAGGATATCCTTTTTGTCCCTCATGAGAGGGACCTGATGTGGCCTAAAGGCAGGAGGATGGTAATGGAGTAGTGAGGGAAAGCCTTTCAAAGGAAGTGACATTTGAGTTGAATTTTGAAGGATTTTTAGAATTAGGCAGAAGAAAAGCATTGCAGCAAAAGCATTTGTGAGAGCATGCATACTGCATTTAGAAAGCTGCAGGCTGCCTGGTGCCTGCCAGAGGAGGTGGGGTTGATGATGGCTCTGAGGCATGCTAGGTGGCTTTGCATGGAGTGTGTGGGTGTGGGTCCTGTATTCTCCAAAGGGAAGACGCCTCCCTCCTATCAGGCATCTCAATCTGAAGGAAAAGGTAGTTCCTCTGTCTCTCACAGGCATAAAATAGAGCACTTAGAGGAAAATGATGGGGCCCTGTTTGTAAGCTGAATAAACAGGTGAAAAGATCTGCCCTAGTTGAAGATATCTTTCTGGCCCCATCTCTATAAAAGCTCCCTATTTTGGAACATCAAGTGTGCTAAGGGATTATATTCTAAGTTTGGAAAAGGACCTGGAAAAGATATCACCGTCGATGTCAATGTCTGCTCCCAAATTTCCTGCAGCTCTGCAGTGTGCGTGCACCAGCTGCCTACAGGCCAACTACACGTGTGAAACAGATGGGGCCTGCATGGTTTCCATTTTCAACCTGGATGGGATGGAGCACCATGTGCGCACCTGCATCCCCAAAGTGGAACTGGTCCCCGCCGGGAAGCCTTTCTACTGCCTGAGCTCAGAGGATCTGCGCAACACCCACTGCTGCTATACTGACTTCTGCAACAAGATCGACCTGAGGGTGCCCAGTGGTGAGTGGATGCCCTTGTTGGACTATTGGCTCATCTTGGAGGTAGGGCACCCCCGTCGTCTCGTCCTTCTCTGCTCTTCCCCAATCCCTTGGTTTGATGATAGGTGAAGGTGGCTTTGGATGTTCCCTAGGTGACAAGGGATGGGGTTCCTCCCAAGTCAGTTTTGTAGGTTAGAGGGTGAAGGAGGCAGATTATCAAGTCGGTTCTAGAGGTGCCAGCTTGTTCTGGGTAGTGGCTAAGCAGCCATCGGCAGTGGTGAAGAGTGGAAGAACTAGGCAGGGGTTCCTGCAGGAGGACGTGGGACTGATCTACAAGGAGATGGCCCTAGAGCCATGTGGAGGGAACTGCTATGGGAAGGGTGTTGGTCAGTTGTGAGGAGGCTAGAATAGGAAAAGGATGGTGATCAAGGCTGTGGAATACTATGTATCATCTCTTTGCCAGTCTGCCATTTAGAAGGTATTACTGTGGAGCTCAAAGGAGAAGGGCAAAAACTAGAGCAGAGCTTAGAGGAGCTATGGTAAGTTAAGAGCAGAAACTGGCGTCTGCCAGGGATGGGGGACTGAGGTGGGAATAGTACCATGAAATGCTGTGAAGTTGCAAAAGGGGTTGTGGATTTGACTGTTGAAAGAGGCGCATTAACTAAAGAAGTTTGGCATTCGAGAGCATTTAGGCAGTCAACTAGCCCAGTAAGACCAGAGAGATCGAAGGAACCTGAATGCCTTGAGAGGGAAAGGAGTCTCTTTCACTGTGGGGTGGGTGTTGGGGATAAATAAGGCCATGGATTTCCCTTGTTTTTACTCTTGTTCTTTCCCTCCCTTCTCTCACCTGACCCAGGTCACCTCAAGGAGCCTGAGCACTCTTCCATGTGGGGCCCCGTGGAGCTGGTAGGCATTATTGCAGGCCCGGTGTTCCTCCTGTTTCTCATCATCATCATTGTTTTCCTTGTCATTAACTATCATCAGCGTGTCTATCACAACCGCCAGAGACTGGACATGGAAGATCCCTCATGTGAGATGTGTCTCTCCAAAGACAAGACGCTGCAGGATCTTGTCTACGATCTCTCCACCTCGGGGTCTGGCTCAGGTACTGAGTTCTCCAGGGTGTCGTGTCTGTTATTGGCTTTCATTGCTGTTTCTCAGCAAGATAGAGTGTTTATGAGGAAGGCCTGGGGCCCTGCATTTGTTTCTACCAGCACTGAGTCATTTGGATTCATAATTCCCCTTCATTTGGAGTCTGACATATAAGGAGATAAGATAATGGGTTTACAGAAAATCTTTCATTCCCTGGGATTCCCAAGGTCTAGTGCAAAACTCTCCACTGCGGAAACCCTGCCTCTCTTCACGTCTTGTAACTGTATGTACATCTATTAAAATTCAGCTGGTTCCACCTGAGCAGTGGGGTGCTCAGTTTAAGGGCCCCTTTTGAGAAACAGGAGTATGCTGGATTCCTGTGAGGTGGTGACAGCTAATCATTGATCTCTGAGCAACCACAAGGGGAGTTTAAGGACATTGAGTAAAGTTTAGAGTTGGGATTTGGTGAATCATTGACTTGTACCAGTTGCCCAAGGTTTTCTGGTAGAGGTTAAAAAAAAAGGCAGCTTGGGCTTCCAGCATAGTATCAGCGCCATTTCCTGTACTGCCTGTCGTTGACCAAGTCTCTCTCAGATGAGGGAGCTGACCCAAACACTGGACCTCGGCATGAGACCAGAATTTAGGATAAAGGAGATTGGGTCTTTCAGGTCTCAAGGTGCAGTTCAGCTAGCTATTAGATGTGAACATGACTGCAAAAGATTTTTTAATGAAGATAAACCATTATTTTAGTGACAGTGGTATTTCATTCTTATATAAAAGAAAAAATCATACACAAAGATCGCTGTTATCATTCTAGCTAAAACACACAGGATTTTATTTGTGAGCATTTGGTTTGTTTTTATGTATGTTTCCTTGCTATGGGACAAGACTGTTGTTCTTTAGGGAAATTATGCCATCAGTCATGGTCAGACATTCTTTCTTGACACAAGGAGTACTTTGAGCTGTGACATCTCCTAAATTTCAGTGGTTTTGCTTTTATTAAGCTTTGCAGAGAGAGAGAGCGCACTAAAATGATGGATATATTTAAAAGCTGCATATTTTTAGAAACAGAAAAAAAACCAGGGCTCGTTCTTTGCTGAAAGAGGTAGGGCAGTGGTTAGAACTGCCTGGCTGACTGTGGGACTTGATTTGCTGCTAGAGGTGAATAGATAGGGTTTTCTGGAATCTTTTTAAGATCAAAACCATCTGAAGCTAGGAAAGGACCATGTTGGTTATTTAGTCATCTGTAGTAAAATAGTTAATAATTATTTCTCTCTGATGGTTTAGTCTGTTCTTCAGAATATACAGAGCTTCCAAGGTGGTTTTTAAAGTAATAACTCCATACTGCTCATATGAGTTTCAGTTCATTTTATTAAATATATGCTGAATATCCTCTGGGTGAAAAAGATACAACAAAAATTAAAAGGAGGCTGACCCAGGATTGAATAGAAAAGACAGGGATTATTGGGAAGAGTCTCAAAAGGAGGACACATTTGAAGTGGTCTTGAAAAATGAGTATTTTTAAGAGAGGTGAGAGCAGAGAACATTCCAGGCCAATGAAAATGCCTTGAGTAAAAAGGCATGAAGACTCGCTGTGTATTTAAGGAACTTATGATAAGGAGACCAGCATGGTGTGCTTATGCTGGGAGGCAGGAAAGACAGGCTGGCCCAGGTGTACAGAACCTCGGGGGCCATACTTTATCTTGTATGTAAGAGGCATCTACTGAAAAGTTTTCATGTGGGAAGATGAATGTTCATTTTTTCCTTTGGAGGGAATTCTGGCAGTGGTGTGGAAGATGAATTCATCCATTTACCAACCTCCTGTTTGGAAGGGTGGGGTGAGGCAGGACTGTGTGTGGGTTTGCAGGGCAAGACAGGGTGAGACAGGAGGCAGAAAGACCTATTGGAAGTCTTTAAGGACCAGAGGTGAAGGACAGGTGCACAGGGAATAGAGAGAAGGGATCTAATTTGATAGCATTTTGGTGGTTCTATACTGTTGCTGTTAAAAGCATAGACTATGGAGTCAGTCCTAGATTTTAATCCCTGCCTTGCCACTTACTGCCTGTATGAATTTGAATGAGTTCCATAACCTTCCTCTTTGGGTCTTAGTTTTCTCCTCTGTAAAACGGGGATAATAACAACACCTTCCTTATAGGCGGTTGTGAGGAAATGAGATAATTTATGTAAAGCCCGTGGCATAGAGCCAAGTGCATAATAAGCATGGTAGTTCACATCTGCCAGACCTGGGGATTAATAACAAAAGTTATTTATTTGGTCCAGGGTTGTTAGTAAGAGAGTTAGACTCAGTCATGACGGTAAAGGCGATTGGGATACACTGAATGAGTCAAAGGAAGCAATAATATTTCTTATAAAGACAGTGAAATTAATCTTGGAATAAGTATAGTATTGTACGTCTTCAGCTCCACCTGTTAGCAGAGCTTTGCTCTGGTGAAGAGCTGGCAACCCATGGGCCGGGCAGCACCGCCCTCTAGTGGCTAATGGGCAGAGCGCCCCGAAAGCAGCTGCCAGCACACAGTTCCCCCTTCGTGTTCCCTGCCCCCTTTCCTTCCTCCATCAGATTAAAGCAAATGTGGGCGGATTGGCCCACAGGTGTCTGGCTGCAGAGTTGGCAAATCTGCCCAAACATTTACATCCAAGGGGGGATGGTGGGAGGGGAATGAGGGAAGAAAAATTACCTTTTGGGTATAATATACACAATTTGTGACAGGTATACTAAAAGCCCAGACATCACCATTCTACAATTCATCCATGTAACCAGAAACCACTTGGACCCATAAATTAAAAAATGTAATTGTTAGGCCGGGCGCGGTAGCTCACGCCTGTAATCCTAGCACTCTGGGAGGCTGAGGCAGGCAGATTGCTCGAGGTCCGAAGTTCGAAACCAGCCTGAGCAAGAGCGAGACCCCTGTCTCTACTATAAATAGAAAGAAATTAATTGGCCAACTAATATATATAGAAAAAATTAGCCGGGCATGGTGGCGCATGCCCGTAGTCCCAGCTACTGGGGAGGCTGAGGCAGCAGGATTGCTTGAGCCCAGGAGTTTGAGGTTGCTGTGAGCTAGGCTGATGCCACGGCACTCCCTCTAGCCTGGGCAACAAAGTGAGACTCTGTCTCAAAAAAAAAAAAAATAAATAATTGTTGAGATACATTTGATCACTTATGACTTCATCTGTATCTATACATTTTATTTATAAAAGTTCAGTCACTCTGTGTATGATAGGAGTCTTATTTTTCATGTAACATTATTTATAAAATTTCCTTTGACTTATTCTTTGTATGTATAATCTAAGTTCATATTTAACATTTTAAAGGATGCCCATAGTATTTGATCCAGTTGATATAACTACTTATTATTTTCTCAAAGATCTATTCCTTATTATTGGACTCTCTGAACAACAACAACAACAACAAAAACCCAACATTCATACTATCACTTATGGAAAAGTTTATTTCATTGTGGATCCAATGAAATACTTTATTTGAACATACTGTGAGCTCGCTATTAGGCAACAAAACATAAAAATGTTGATAGTGCCAATTCTAAAAAAAATTTACATTTGAATCTGTCATCCATATTAACTGAGGAGCAATTGCTTAGTTAGGGAGCAGCTAATCATATGTGTTGCCCTCCCTGTGTTCACTCACTCCCGGTTGCCGCCTGGCTCAGCCCTCTGGTAGATTATCCAGACGTGGCGCAGGGGCAGCAGCAGCTCTGCGTGGTTGATGGACCATTATGGAACAAACACACTGTTTTAAGGGCCTTTCTACTGTACCATTGAACGTGGGAGTTGCAAAGTTTGGCAGATTTGCAATGTCAGGTTTCTTTCCATTCTTTGGTCCACAGGGTTACCTCTTTTTGTCCAGCGCACTGTGGCCCGAACCATCGTTTTACAGGAGATTATCGGCAAGGGTCGGTTTGGGGAAGTGTGGCGTGGCCGCTGGAGGGGTGGTGATGTGGCTGTGAAAATTTTCTCCTCTCGAGAAGAGCGGTCTTGGTTCCGGGAAGCGGAGATATACCAGACAGTCATGCTGCGCCACGAGAACATCCTTGGATTCATCGCCGCGGACAACAAAGGTAAAGGCTGGGCTTGGGTGCTAGGCTTGGATACAGTGTCCCCAAAGTGGCACCGTTCCCAAATGGAGGATGACTGGGGAAGGTGTGCAGCTGTGGGGCACACAGCTCTGTTTGCCTTCTTCGTTGTTACCCATAGAAACAGGACCTAGATATGGTCATGGTTTCCATGTTTTTCTTAAGGTGTGAAGCCTTCTAGTTCCTGAAAAGCTTATACAGAAACCCAGATTATCAAGCAGCTAAACAAGCAGTGCTAGTAAACAGATAAAGAACACTCTCAACCCCTCCCCTGCCTGCTCAGTGTCTCTTTTTTATCATTCTCCTAGACCCGTTTCCAGTGTAGTCCCTACAAAAGCTCTGGTAAGTTTCTTTTGAAAATCACTAGGATGAGAAATTGCAGCCTCAACCTTGCCAGGAAAGGATACCCACAGAAAAGCATGTTGTCCACAAAGTGTCACTTGGTGGCCTTCAGATTCAGTTTTTGGTCAGGCTTGTACCTCAGGCCCCTTGTTTTCTCCTTCCTCTCCCTTCTTTTCCTGCTTTAATTTTTGAGTCTGTCTGGTGTGCCTAGACACAGTCCTATTTTTGAGAATCTCATTGATTAGCAAAGAGGTGAGCACAAATTGGAGGCAAATCATACCTGAGCTTGATTGAGAGGACAGTAGCAAGGGTTGGTCAGGAAGGAAAACCAGTGGGACGGGCACTGTAGACACACGCAGAGGTGAGGAGTAACTTGGGCTGGCAATACCACAGCAAAGGACATGGGTGGAAAGGTAGGCAGAGGCCAGATTATGAAGGGCCTTTCTGAGAGGATTGTATTTTATTCTGAGGATAGTGGGTAGTAATTGAAATTTCATTCATTAATCCAGTAACATTTATTGACTGCTGTGGGCTAGGACCACTGCCAGCCGCTTGGATCATGACACGTAAGAGCAAGACATAGTCACAGGTCTTGCCCTTACAGACCTGGGGTGGGGGTGGGGAGCAGACGTGCACCTGGAGTACAGAGAGGATGGCCAGGACGTGACCAGGGTCACATTTCAGAAGAGTCTGGCAGTTGTGATGCAGCTTGCTCCTGTGGTGCAGCAAGTTTTAGACGTTAGTGTCTACAAAGCCTATGGAAGATGCTAACTATTTGGGTTTTGTTCCTAAAACAATAACAGACTGCTCATTCCTCACATTGCTGTGGGGGGTTGTAATGGCCTCAGCTGCCCCCAAGCTGAAGAGTCTTGGGCTGGTACACAGGGCAAGAAGGGGAAGAGAGCCATTTACTCCCTCTGAGTAAGCTATTCCTTTTTAAAACAGCATTGCCTTTTGATAAAATTGAAATCTTCCATATATCTTAAAGGATCAAAACATGTTATTGACTGTTTTGATAAACACGATAAGTAAGTTAAAATGGAAGCTGTTTAACTAATCTACAGGGTCCTCAGGACTTTGGGGCTGATGGAGTGTGAGAAGCAGTGTGCTGGGCGGGTCCCTTGTCTGTGATAAGAGAAGCTAAGATCTGTGTGTTTCCAGGGCTGCTCCCTTTATTGGCTCTGGCAGCGCGTGTGAGGAGGGATCTGGCTGTCAAACCCACGTTAGGGCCAGGGAAGGAGAAAAACCGGACTCCTTCGTTCTTGCCTTTTAAACATGATAAATGTAGTATTGACCCTGGAACTAGCACCAGCCTGGAATTTTGGAGATTTCAATCCAATTTCCTGTCTTCCTATCATCAGCAGCATGGCTTAATTAGAGGCCTGCTTTTGGTGTTTTTTTCTCCCTCCCTCTGTTATCCTCCTCATTGCCCCATGTATGAAAGAGAGAAAATCAAAAGTGCACGGTCCACCTTCCATGGCTCTTTTGAAGGATAAGGTGACCCCTCTGGGAATACTTGGAAGTAGGTTATTCATGCGTTGAAAAGCATTTTTTGGCCAGGAATACAATAATGTATAAAGGAGATCTTTCCTACTCTGTCTCAGAGAGCTCATGGCCTGGTAAGAGCGACAGACTGAAAAGAAACATTGCAAATGAGACAGGTGCTGGGTGTGAGCTATGTTCAAAGGGTCCTGGGACACAGAGGAGGACCTCCAAGGCCTTTCTCCTTGATGGTAGTGAATGCAGCCCATCTGGTTCTCACCTGTAGGTGACTGAGTCTTGTCAGGACCCAAGCAGCACTGAACACAACTCTGACAATACCTGTCACTTTCCCTAAGCATATGCTTTCCTTTCCTGGACACCTCACATTTCAAATTTGGTAAAAAGGAAGCGCTGTTCAGAATCATACTGCCCACCTAAAAAAAATGGGAGCAGGTCTGAAAAAGAAGTGGTGTTCTTCTGTCCTTACTGGAGCCTAAAACTGGTAGACCACTGTGAATGAAGTGGGCATGGGCTTGAAGGGGGCGTGGGGCCCTCAAGAGGTATGAAAGGGAGAAATGTGAATTCAGCAGTCTAACTGGATTTTGTGTTGTACATGTTCATCCTTTCCAACTTTAACCTTTTTTGCTGGTAGTTGTACCTGTTGCAGAACTCATTTGTGGTTCTCTGCAGATAATGGCACCTGGACACAACTGTGGCTTGTCTCTGACTATCACGAGCACGGCTCCCTGTTTGATTATCTGAACCGGTACACAGTGACAATCGAGGGCATGATCAAGCTGGCCTTGTCTGCTGCCAGTGGGCTGGCGCACCTGCACATGGAGATCGTGGGCACGCAAGGTGAGCTCACCAGCTGCAGGACCATGAGGTGGTGTTGGCTTCAAAAGTCTGCACCATCCTGATTTTGTTCCTGGAATTTCATTTTACTGAGAAAGTTGGGACTGGACTTTAGGAACTGTAGTCTAATCTAAAGGAAAGAGATTTGAGCTTTGAGTGAGAACAAGAGGCATCTACAGGGTATTCTCTTCACCTCTGTCTTTAGAACTCCCTCAGGAGCTCTATAGTGTCAGTATTCAGTTATTTGTCAATTGATGTCCCAAGGCCAGGCGCGGTGGCTCACTCCTGTAATCCTAGCACTCTGGGAGGCTGAGGTGGGCGGATTGCTCGAGGTCAGGAGTTCGAAACCAGCCTGAGCAAGAGCGAGACCCTGTCTCTACTAAAAATAGAAAGAAATTAATTGGCCAACTAATATATAGAGAAAAAATTAGCTGGGCGTGGTGGCACTTGCCTGTAGTCCCAGTTACTTGGGAGGCCGAGGCAGTAGGATTGATTGAGCCCAGGAGTTTGAGGTTGCTATGAACTAGGCTGATGCTAACCTGGGCAACAAAGCAAGACTCTGTCTCAAAAAAAAAAAAAATTGATGTCCTGACACAGTTGTTTGGTATTAAGGAGTAGTCATCTCAGAAGCCCACAGTATGCATGTAAAACAACTCTACAAAGCTAGGCATGGTGGCACACCCCTATAGTCCCAGCTACTCAGGAGGCTGAGGCAGGAGGAACGCTTGAGCCCAGGAATTCAATGCCACAGTGCACTATGGTAGACATTACACTTCTGTGAATAGATGCTGCACTCCAGCCTGGGCAACATAGACTCTGCCTTTAAAAAATAAATAAAAATAAAAAAAGAATGGAAGTAAAAAGGTAAACCAGTGCAACAGAAGCATCAGTTTAGTAATTTCAGACATTCCTTGTTGGGGACAGCTGGTTTCTTGGTGGATTAGACACTGGGCCCTTTTTTTTTTGAGACAGAGTCTCACTTTGTTGCCCAGGCTAGAGTGAGTACCATGGCATCAGCCTAGCTCACAGCAACCTCAAACTCCTGGGCTCAAGTGATCCTACTGCCTCAGCCTTCCGAGTAGCTGGGACTACAGGCATGCGCCACCATGCCCGGCTAATTTTTTGTATATATATATTTTAGTTGGTCAATTAATTTCTTTCTATTTTTAGTAGAGACGAGGTCTCGCTCAGGCTGGTTTTGAACTTCTGACCTGAAGCAATCCAACCACCTCGGCCTCCCAGAGTGCTAGGATTATAGGCGTGAGCCACCACGCCCGGCCAGACACTGGGCTTTACTACTAATCTAGTAAGGTTAAGGAAAAAGGAAAAAGACCTCAAGCTTTACTGCCTATTGACTGTAATGTTGGCTTGTTGGGAGATCCTGGATCTTGGCACAATGGCAGGTGTGATCCCTGATGTCTGGTTGATCAGGGCAATAGCTAGCTCTTGCTGACCATGAAAGAAAACCAACCCTGAAAGTTGGATCCTGTTAGTAGTTTATGCAGTGCTATTGGTAGTCCTTATCTTTGGGCCTCTTTAGTTTTGAGACTAGCCAGCACAGCAGCTTCTCTTGGAATTCCTCAGCAGTTCTTTACCTAAGCATATTTGCTCAGGGAAAGTGAGTAGTAGTAGTAGTATTAATAGTAATATTAGCTAATATGCATGTACTTCTTTACTTACCTACATCAGTGCACTTAATCCTCACAACAGTCCCATGAAGTAAGTACTATCATTCTGATTTTATAGATGAGAAGACCAAGGCACAAATGGGTTAAGTCGTTTTCTTGGGGTCACTGGGTTAGTGGGAGGCAGAGCCAGGACTCAAACCCACACAATCTGGCCATAGAGTCCATGCTTTTAACATACTGTCTCTCTTTAAAGATCCCTTGTTTTTTTCTTGCTAGGGAAGCCTGGAATTGCTCATCGAGACTTAAAATCAAAGAACATCCTGGTGAAGAAGAATGGCATGTGTGCCATCGCAGACCTGGGCCTGGCCGTCCGTCATGATGCAGTCACCGACACCATCGACATTGCCCCAAATCAGAGGGTGGGGACCAAACGGTAGGAAGCCTGGGCCTCTGCCCTTGTTCAACAGCTTGTACTGAGTGTCCCATGTATACCCTTTCCCATATGTGCAGGAGAAGGAGGTATAGAAAAAGGAGGTGAGGACCTTATACTCACCCTGCTGAGGGCTCAGTTGAACAACCACTCTCCACACCAGAAAGCTGCGTGGTCACATCTAACAGATAGAATTGCCTAGAGCACAACTCCATAAAATTGTATAGGTATTGGTGGTATTTCATGGGTGGAGGGAAGAAGGAGACTCTGGAGCAGGATTTAGAAGGCTGGTAGACACCAGGCTTGGCAGGCTCCACAGGGGTGGCGTGAGCAGAGAGCACTGAAGGAGGCAGAGAGCATGTTCTGCCTGGGGCTTGGAGCAGTTTTGCAAAGCTGTAGGGTGGAGATTGGGGCACCTTTAAGCACTTCAGTATGGCTCTCACCAGCTGCAAAACCTTGCCCACAGCCGGCACTCATAGTCCGCACAATAATTTGTGCTGTGCATTGACAACGAATCCGTTTTGCTCTTGTGTGATGAGGAAAGCTTTAAAGCACTGAAAGCTTTATTTTACTTTACAGGCAGCTTTACTTGTAATGTAAATCAGAATAGGTAATATATACATATATGTTTTTATTATGTTATTTTTAAATCTTCACAATTTTATTTTGATAAATTAAAAATTAGAAAAGTCAAGTTTTGTTATTAACACTAAAGTCGACGCTCAGCTGTGCGCCTGCATATCACGGCTGTCAGCTAAAGTCGACGCTCGGCTGTGCACATTCATCTGTGGCTATAGTCAACACTCGTACCGAAGTGGTTAAGGATTATGGGCCTGCTTCTCACGTCATACAGAAGTGAAGTAAGAAGTGAGGGCTCGTGATTGCAGGTTGACTATGTGAGTTAGAAATGAGACTGCCTTTTAACTGGATGGAAAAGGGTGGGCGGATCTGTTTGCTGAACCTCAATGAATTTCATTAAATTGTGCTGCTAGTATTTTTCTTTCTTTTGACCTAAATGATTGCAGCTACCCATACCCCAAAGTGTGGGGCCTGAGATGATCCCTGATTTATTGTGGGGTTGGGTAATTACTACTCAGAGTCACTAAGGGTGACACTGAGTTCATTCTAAAATCAATTTTCACACATCCAGGCGCTGTTAGTGCTGACCTTTCTTTTTCTTTTCCTTCTCTTCCTCTTTATTTAAAGAACCCCACCACCACACACACAAGCACACACACACATATCTGGCCAGGCATGGTGGCTCATGCTTATAATCCCAGCACTTTGGGAGGCCAAGGCAGGAGGATCACTTGAGGGCCAGGAGTTTGAGACCAGCCTAGGGAAGATATTGAGACCCCATATCTACAAAAAATTTTAAAAATTAGCCAGGCATGGTAGTGCACACCTATAGTCCTAGCTGCTTAGGAGGCTGAGGTAGGAGGATCGCTTGAGCCTAGGACTTTGAGTTTGCAGCGAGCTGTGATGACACCACTGCACTTCAACCTGGGTGGCAGAGTGAGACCCTGTCTCTTAAAAAAAAAACTGTTTTTTTCCCCCCACATATCTTCCAAGTCAGGTAAGATAACAAAAGAAATTCAGAATGAAATTTAAGCTCAATCTGTCACTGTGGCTTACACTCAGTAAAGTGAAAGACCCCACTACAACCAGATAATATGTACTGTTACTGCCCATGTGACCCACAGTACAAGTACCTCTGCCCAATATGCTTCAAATAAACAAATCTTGATGGTTGAAAATAGAGATACACATTAACAGAGTAGCCTAGTATTGCCAAATCTATGCTGAAATGTTTAGATTCAAATCTAAAACATGGGAGTTTGCAATGAAGAGATGTGCTTACTTCCTGCTTCCCAAATGACTTTATTGGGGTGATGCTCTGTCACATTCAGAGGGCCCCTGAATCAGTACTTTGATTGAAAGAGAGCACTCATCATATTCTGTGCATGACTGTGTTTGTTTTGCTGTTGCAGATACATGGCCCCTGAAGTACTTGATGAAACCATTAACATGAAACACTTTGACTCCTTTAAATGTGCTGATATCTATGCCCTTGGGCTGGTATATTGGGAGATTGCTCGAAGATGCAATTCTGGAGGTACCTTTGTTTTTTGCCTTCTCTTGCTCCTGCCACCCAGTTCTAGAGTCCTGGATCACCTGGGGGGCTTGTATTTACTGCCTCCTTTCTTTTTACAACCTGTTGGATGTGTGCTACCAGAGCCTGAATCCCACACTTAGGGTTCTCATCAAAGGTGTGGGACCTTGAAGGCAGCTGTGCTAAGGGCGTGTGTACTCTTCGGACCAGCTTGTGAAATGGTGTTTTCGTCGTGGTGACCATTCTGAAGTCTCATTTGGCTTTTTTAAAAAAAACGCGTTGTCTGTATTGTTCCATGGAGGTGGGAAGTGCCCTGGGTGCAGATAGCAGAGGATTCTCGCACCACTGTCCTTTCCATCAGGGGCAATATATTCTAGCACACAGTCTCTCAAGCCACTTTCCTGGGGAACCCTAGTGTTTCATCGCTAAAATCATAGTGGTAATTTCTAAGTTTGCAAATGTGCATAGAATATTCTCAAAATGAGTTTTTTCTCTCCCATAATTAAAAAGAAAAATCTTTTTTTTTTAAAAAAGTGGCATTTGCAACTTCTTATTCATGTCAGAATCCAGTAAAAGATAGTATCACATTTAGCAGAAAATACATTTTATTGTCAACTTAGTGTATCAATATTTTATGATAATCTCCAAGTATTCTGCCATGTGATCAAGTTCAAGAACCTCTAGAGTCCTGCCCTCAGCTATTTCTCTCTAATGATAAAAGAGTCCAAGGCAGTGGAAGTGGTTGAATTAAAAAGAACTGGTAAGTCTTCCAGCAGAACACTTTGTGTATTACTACCTTTTTCCATCTATGACATGTTTGGTAAAATCCAAATTATGAAGAAGGTGCCCAGGTATTACTCATGGAATCAGACCTCTTAAATTTTGATTAGTATATGCAGATAAAACATCAAGAAAAATCTGGTCACATAGATGAATAAGTTCCTTTCTTCTTTCTCATGACATCCAGAAATTGGGGCTAAGTATGTAACAATGTTAACATTTATTCATCACCCTGATTATACCAATTTCATATATTAGCCAGATTTCTTCTTTAAAGTGAAACTTCCCCTAATTACCTATTGGGTTTCCAAGATGCACAGTTTGTATAGGAAGGCAGGAAAAATACTTGATTCTTTCCATTTAGTTACCATTTTTCAAAATGATAAAGTCTTCCATAGCATCCTACAAAGGTGACTGAAGTTTTTTTTAGAATTATTATGAACTGGTGGATTTAAAAATACTTGTTCCCATTGAAGTTATTAGTCTTATGGTTACTTAGGTATCCTTATCTTTTGGCCAGTTAGGTTTTTAAGTTGGTGCTTTTTTTTTTCCCTTAGAGAGAGGGTCTTCCTCTTTTGCCCAGGCTAGAGTGGTGCAGTGGCACAGTCAGGTCAGTGCAGCCTTGAACTCCTGGGCTCAAGTGATCCTCCTTCCTCAGCCTCCTAAGTAGCTAAGACTATAGGCACAGACCCCCATACCTGGCTAATTCTTTAAAAAATTTTTTTATAGAAACAGGATCTCACTAAGTTGCCGAAGCTGGTCTCAAACTCCTGGCCTCAAGGGATTCTCCTGCATTGGCCTCCCCAAATGCTGGGATTACAGGTGTGAGCCACCACACCCAGCCAAGTTTGGTATCTTTTGACATAATCCCAGTAGTCTTTGATAGTTTCCTTGCTTTTTTGGTATGATAAAGATGTTCCTGGCTGTGTATTTCATATCCCATACCTAAAGTCAACCAACTTCTCCAAGTTGCCCTAGTTTATCTTAGTGGTGTTTACAGGTCACAATGTGAATGTTGTCATTAGCTTTTGAATAATCTTCCTTCTGTTGATAACTCAGGTAGATGTTTTCTTTTCTCCTAGGAGTCCATGAAGAATATCAGCTGCCATATTATGACTTAGTGCCCTCTGACCCTTCCATTGAAGAAATGCGAAAGGTCGTATGTGACCAGAAGCTACGTCCCAACATCCCCAATTGGTGGCAGAGTTATGAGGTAGGAAGCTTCCTTGCCTCCTCTGGCTCTTCCATCTGCCTGATTTCTCTAGCTTAGAAAAGGGTTTCTTGATAATGGGGTCAGCCCCCAGGGATACCCCCTGCGAGTGTCACTTATTACATACTGTCATATGCTACTGTATACTGAGCCCTTGTAGAACAAGGGCTACAGTCCCTTGTTCTGGATACCATAAGTTGCTCTTTGGAGCTGACAGCCTAATAGAAGAAAAAGACTTCATCCCCACGACACAGATAAAGGAGGTGGACAACAAGAGACAGAAACAAAAACTGAACTTGGAGCTGTTATACATATCGAACTAGAAAATGGCTCTGGAGCCCCGGGGCTGAGCTGAGCCATATAGGAGAGTTAGGAAGAGGCTCTTAGACTCAGTGGAGGGGAATGAAAGACACACTTAGCAAGAGGACGTGCCTGTGAGGGAAGCGGCCTTTCCAAAGACTCAGAAGAAGGGAGCAGGGTGACATGTGTGACAAGGTTGGGATTAGGATGGGGAGTTTGAATTTAGTAGAGATGGCAGATGAAATGGGAGGGAGCGGATGACATTTGGTAGAAGAAATTGAAATGAGGACAAATTTATGGCATAGATTCCTGCTAATCATAGAATTCTGGAGTCTCTGAGTCTTCGAGGGAGCAGTGTTTGCCTAGCTAAGTGCACATGGGCCTCCTTTTCACTCGTGACTCTGTTTTTTTCTTATTTTTTTTCTAGCTTTATTGAGGTATAATTGATAAGTTATAGTTGTACAAATGCTGCTTTGATATATATAGCGAAATGTTTACCACATTGAAGTTAGTTTACACGTCTGTCACCTTTACCCAGTAGCCTTTGTGTGAGTGGTGAGAGCAGTTAGGATCTGCTCTCTCTGCAGATTTTAGGTATACAGCATGGTGGTGTTGACTCCAATCGCCTTGCTGTCTATTAGAGCCCCAGAACCTATTCATCTGGTAGTGAAACAGGGAAAGGTTGGCTCTGCTTTTAAAGAGTATAACCACTAGAGGGCATTTTGCATTTAAGAACAAAATTGCTTAGAACACATTTTGGATGATGCCTTCTCATTGCATAATTGGGCAGCATTTTTCAAAGTGTTTTTCAGAGCCCTCAGGGTAGGGTTTACTTCAGAGGATGAGAGTGAGGCTGAAAGAGCTGATCTTTAGCTGCAGCTTTTGCCTTGTCCCTGCACAGCCTGTCCTCTACGGAAGGAAGAGCTAAGGGGAAAGGGAGGCGTACCAAGCATTTCCTTGAGGTTGGCTGGTGGGGATGGATTCTGCTGGACTCTACGCGGAGGGGGAAGCAGTAGAAAAGTGAGTGAGGGCCTAGGGACCATAAAGACTTCTCCAAGGCGTTGTTGATGGCCTGTGGGTCTCTCTGTGCAGGCGTTACGGGTGATGGGGAAGATGATGCGAGAGTGTTGGTATGCCAATGGGGCAGCCCGCCTGACCGCTCTGCGCATCAAGAAGACCCTCTCACAGCTCAGCGTGCAAGAAGATGTGAAGATCTAACTCTGCTCCCTCCCTCATGTACACCTCTGGGCAGCGAGAACTACATACAGCTGCCACAGTGAGCGTCCGATGGAGGCCTACCTCTCGTTTCTGCCCAGCCCTCCGTGGCCAGGAGCCCTGGCCCGCAAGAGGGATAGAGCCCGGGAGACTCGCTCACTCCCATGTTGGGTTTGAGACACAGACATCTTTTCTATTTACCTCCTAAAGGCATGGAGACTCTGAGAGCGAATTGTGTGGAGAACTCAATGCCACAACTCAAACTGGTTGTAGTGGGAAGTCCTGCGAAACCCGGTGCATCTGGCGTATACAGCCAGGAGTGGTGAAAGGGGTGGCCTGGGAGGGGCCAGAGGAGCCGAGTCGTTGCCAGTACTAAGCCGCGCTGAGGGTTTTCCTCCACGGACCCACCCACAGCACACCGCGGTGGCCCAGAGGAACTGGAGCGCAGCCCCTCTCACAGGCAGCTCCGAGCCACGCGCTCCCCCCTCCCTCGTGTGGACATGTGGAGGGACTGCCAGTGGGGACAGAATCTGCCGCCTGTCTGTCCAGTGTGTGCATGTGCCGAGGTGCGTCCCCCGTTGTGCCTGGTCCGTGCCACGCCCTTACACGTGTGTGTGTATGTGTGTGTCTGTAGGTGCGCACTTACCTGCTTGAGCTTTCCGTGCATGTGCAGGTCGGGGGTGTGGTCGTCATGCTGTCTGTGCGTGCTGGTGCCTCTGTTCAATAGTGAGAGCATCTAGTGTCCCTGGTGCCCTTCCCAGGAGGTCTCTCCCTCCCTCTCCTCCCGTCCCCCTGGAGCCCCTCATGCCTCAGTGGTACTCTGTGTCCAGCAGGTTGCTCTGCTCACCCCAGTGTCGACACAGCTCTCCTCCTCCATTTCAGACTGTGGAACCAAAGCTGGCCTAGCTGTCCATGGCAGAAGAGGCTTTTGGGTCAAAATATGAGGGTGGGGTTGGGGTGGGCAGGGAGGAATCTTGACAGAAGTCTTGGCTGTGGTCAGTGTGAGCCACGGGAATGAGCCAGCCCAAGGGTGTCATGCTCAGCACCATGGAGGAAGGGCCAGGAATGTGAAGCCAGGTCTTGGGACTCAGATTGGAATGTCACATCTGTCTTTCACATCCCAGATTCTGGAAACAGCAGTGTATATTTTTGGTGGTGGGTTTGGGGTGGGGCAGGGAAGGGGGTGGGAGGCGTGGGGAGGGGTCTGGGAGGGAGGGGGCATCTGCATGGGTCTTTTACTGGATTACCTGACAGGTGGAGGGAAGAGGAGAGATCCCTATCTACTTCAGGGGCCCTACTAAAGGGAGCAGCCTTCTCAGAACGTGTCATTTAACTGAGTGTCATATTTAATGAAGTCTAGAAGCATGGCTGTGGGTGGTGATTTGGTCAGCATATCTTAGGAATATAATAACTTTGAAGCCATAACTTTTAACTGGAGTGGTTTGATTTCTTTTTTTAATTTTATTGGGAGGGTTTGGATTTTAACTTTTTTTTAGTATTAAGTTTTTGTAAAAGGAAAACCATCTCTATGTGATGATTACCTCTCAATCTATTTGTTTTTAAAGAAATCCCTAAAAAAAAAAAAAAAAAAACCAAAAAAATCCTCTAATCAAGCGCACATAGCTCAGTCACACTGGAAATGTTTGTCCTTGCTCCTGAGCCCTCCCTACTCAGCAGTGAGGTTTCCTTTTTGTCCTGGGAGCTCTGTCTCTTGGGCATTCTGCCTCCACCCCCATTCCCTGAGTGGCTCTTGCTCCAGGGCCCTAGCCTTTTGTGCATTGTCCAGCTGGTTGCAGCCTTTCCAGGCATTTATTCAACAACTGTGTGTTGAGTGCCTGCTGGGTGCCAGGCACTGCGCCAGGCGCTGGGAATACCGCCTGGAACAGGATGGGCTTGGATCCTCCTCCCAGAGCACTGAAGAGGGAACTGATTCAAGTAAGTGGGTGCCTGTTTTGAGACCAGAAAGTTTCATAATTGGTACTAAGACCCTTTTGAGCCTGGATTTACTGTTCTTATATAAGATCACTGAAGAAAGAGGAACCCTTGCCACCTACCGCAAAGAAACCAGTGGTGGGCAATGAGGCCTGGGGTATAGAACTCCAGGTGAGACCCAAAATCACTGCATTCATTCTGAGCCCCCTTCCTGCCCCCAGGGAGGTGCATCATGTGTGCAGCCTTAGAGCGTCTCTGCCTCCAGCCCAGCGGTTCTCTGCCAAAGCCCATGGAGGAGGGAGAGCCCCTCTCCTGCCTCAGTCTCCCCAGTGCTCCTGCCTCTTCTATTTATTTGCCTGATGTATTGCTTCTTTCCTTGCATTAAAGGAGATCTTCCTCTAACACTTTGGGCCAATTTACTGGCCACCGACTAACTTTCCTTCAATACCAATTGTGTCATTAGGGGGCCCTTCTCCCCCCCCCCCCCCCCTCCTTGCTGACCTCCCACCTGTCCGCCCTGCAGCAGAGCCTTGGTGGGTTACAGGTGATGACGGAACTTAGACTCCTCCGCCTGGAGTCAAAACTAGCCTCTGGGATCTGCCAACACACGTCCACCCAGCCACTCCCAAGCCACTAGCCTGCTCCCCAGGTGGCCCTTCTGCCCTCACCACACAGGTAGTCCAGCTCTCCACCTCTGGGGAAGATGGAGCAGGTTTGGGGGAAGCTCCTACACCCACCCTTGCCACTCTTGACGCCAAGCAAGAGTTGGGGAGAAACTCAAGCCGTGGTTTTGGCCCTTGAGGCTAACCCTGATCCATAGGGCTACCTGCACCTCTGGATTCTGGATTCACAGACCAAGTCCAAGCCCGTTCTTATGTCGCCACTAAGGCCCCCGAACGGCGTTCTCGGTACTTCTGTTTGTTTTTGTACATTTTATTAGAAAGAACTGTAAAATAGCCACTTAGACACTTTACCTCTTCAGTATGCAAATGTAAATAAATTGTAATATAGGAAATCTTTTGTTTTAATATAAGAATGAGCCTGTCCAATTTCTGCTGTACATTATTAAAAGTTTTATTCACAGAGCTTTCCTGGTGCGATCTGTCTTGTGTATGTAAAAGGACCACCCAGCTTTTATCGGAGGATGGGCAGTTGGGGCTGGGTACGTGGTTCTAAGGTGGTGTTTCCACGCTTCTGCTGGCCAGGGGCAGATGTCACGGCTGTGGCAGGTCACGTTCAGCACAGGTACTGGTGTGAACATCCTGGGTCTTCTTGAGACTTGCTGTGTGTTTCACAGAGCGAGGGCCTGGTGTGGGGGGGAGCAGGAGACACCCAAGCACCCTTGGGCTCTGTCTGAATCTGTCTTCAGCGTTTTTCTCTATTTACAGAAGAGGGTCTTGCTCCTGCTTCATCACACACTCTCATGTCTCTGCGGCATGAGCCGCCTCAGTTTTGCTTCCCTCCTAAAATGAAGCATAATTGTGAATTCTGGGGTGCTTAGATGACTAAGGGCGTCTTCAGTGGTTACTCTCGTGTTTTCAGTGCACAGGTGGGTGTGAATGTCCTGTAACCTGAGGGGATCTCAAATAGCGAGTCCTAGAATCATAGTGTCCAGTTTAGATGGGAGCTGAAAGGTCCCCTTAGTTCACCACCGTCAGGCACTTGACTGCCCTGCAGCTTCCCTGCCAAGTGGCCGTGGCCTCTTGCTCTGGCACTCAGGACTACAGCAGGCCATGCTGCTCAGTAGAGAGCTCTTCCTTCGGTAGAACTGGGCAACCTCCATGTGACTTCCACAGGGTTTGCAGAACAGTTATTCTCTCTTCCCGTATAAGGTCCCTTAAAATATTTGAAGGCAGCTGTCATGTTATCGTGAATCTTCTGACAAAGCTTTGAATTTCTTCAGTTATATTAGCAAATACTTACTGAGAACTTACTGTGCGCTAAGCCATGTGCCAACATTTGCTTTACATATATTGGCTGCTTTCATCCTCAAAACAACCATATGCAGTGGCCATTATTATCTTCTCTGTATGGATTAGGAAATGGGGAATTAGAGAAGTCAGATAGATTGCTCAAAATCACCTAGCTTGTGGGTGGAAAAGACTTTGGGTCAAGGATATTGACTGCAGACCACAGCCCTTTCCCACCACGCTGCCCTGCCTCATGGTTCCACATTCACCCAGGCTGGCTGCTCTCTTGTGAGCCTAGCTAGAACCTGGGGTCAGAAAGGATGCATAACCCTCCCTCTGGGCATTAGCTGACCACACAGACTAGAATGGCAATCCTACAGACTGTTCAGTACCTGCAGATCACATCCCAGGACTACACCTCATCTCTTGGGTTGAGTAAAATCCAGCTACCTTCTTCTCCATCCGATACATGGGAAGTTGGTATTTTGAACCCAAGTGCAGGACCTTATATTTCTACCCTATTCCTACCCAATATCCTTGACCCAAGGTCTTTTCCACCCACAAGCTAGGTGATTTTGAGCAATCTATCTGACTTCTCTAATTCTCCATTTCCTAATCCATACAGAGAAGATAATAATGGCCACTTCATATGGTTTGAGGATGAAAGCAGCCAATATATGTAAAGCAAATGTTGGCACATGGCTTAGCGCACAGTAAGTTCTCAGTAAGTATTTGCTAATATAACTGAAGAAATTTCACTACAGAACCTGCCTATTGCTGCAGCCTGTCATGATTTTTAAATCCTGGTTATTACCCTGAGTTTTCCATCATTCTCAACTGTCTGAGACTCTGTTGGGCTGGAGAAAATCAAGTAACTTACCTCTAGAAGTTTGCTTGAAGTTTTGCATCTATCCCAGTTGTCCTTGTGTTCTGGCCATAATTATTCTATCGACAAAGGTAACAGAAGCCCAAGTCCCTAGATGACTTGCCATTGTGGCTGTTGCAGCTATCTCCCTGTTCATCGGAAGGAAAGGCAAAGCGGTTAGCAGTGAATCTCAACCTGGTTCAAATGAAGGCTCCTTAAAGGCCATCCTGTTAATAATCAGTCATCTTGCCAGGCATGGATCTAAAATTCACTAGGCTATGGATCACGGGCTCGCCTTTACCATTTTGAAATCAGAATGGCAACCCTTCTGTGTGCCCTTGAAGGTTACCAATGGTGTTTCACCTTTATACGGCTTGTGACACAGAACTGAGTCATTTGAATGCTGCATCACTTGGGTTTTTGTTTCATACATCCTAAATTTCTGTTCCTCAGGCCATGTCTTCTGACCTTTATGGTCCTGAGAACATGCTTGCTAACCACAACCAAAACAAAATCAGAAGTAGCAGAGTTCAAGAGTCTGGCTCAGGAACATAAGTGGGATGCCCAAGAAAGGTTGGGGTGGGGAGAGAACGCTTTGGATCAAGCCAGGAATGGTGTTATTAGGGTTCTCCAGAGAAACAGAACCAATAGAATGTACATAGATTCGTTTTCAGGAATTGGCTCATGATTGTGGGGTCTGGAAGGTCAAGAATCTGCAAGGCAAGCCAGCAGGCTGGAAACCCTGGGAAGAATTGATGTTGCAGTGCCGAGTCTGATGGCAGGATTATTTCTCAGGACACCCTGGTCTTGTAAGGCCTTCAATTGATGGGATGAAATCCACCCACATTATGGAGGGTTATAGGCTTTACTCAAAGCCTTCTGATTTAAATGTTAGTCACATCAAAAACACCTGCACAGCAACAGCTAGACTAGTGTTTGAAAAGACAGCCGGACACTAAAGCCTGCAAGTTGCTGGGTATCCCATGGTCAGGAAGGGTGCAATGGAAGGATATGGGAAGGTATCCCTGGGTCCTTTGAGAATTCTCCTTGGAAGCCAAAGTAGGGGCTAAGGGAGTAGGAAGGTTTAAGGAACAATTGGATAGACTGGGCTCTATTTATTAAGTATTTGTTGAGCAACATCAGTGCATAAAGCAGTAGGCAAAATACAAAGATAAACAATCCCTTCAAGGAGTTTATAATTTGGACAGAGAGATTCGGATTTGCACAGAGGTAACAGGTGGATTTCGGCAAGTCCCAGTACAGAGCAATATGCAGGGTGTCGTGAAACCACAGATGAGATGTCTAGGGAAAGAAGGCATGTGTCCCTGCCCTCCAGGGGCTCCCTGTCTGGTGGAATGGGCTAATACACAGATAATACAATGGAAGGAGGTAGGTACTGTAACAGCGATGGAGAGAGTGCTGTGGGAACACAGGAGAGACAGGAGGTTGGGGCCAAGTGAGGTGACATCTGTTTTGGAGTAGGCATTGGCCTGCTTAGGAGAGGAGGGGGTTTTAGTCAGAAATGAGTGTTGTCATTCAAGAACCACAGATGTTCAACATGGCTAGAGAATATGAGCCAGGGGTGTAATGGGGGAGTCTGTTAGAGCCGTTCACATGCTGAGAAGTCAACACTGTCCCTTCATCCTGGGGGACAGAAATGGCAAATATGTAGCACCAATGCCATCACTTCCCTGAGACAGCTACCTCAGACTGCACTAATCTATCTGGAATTTTTCCTCTTGGTCCCTCAATTTTTTCATGATCTAAATGCCCCTTCTCACTACAATCGCACTGAGTATTAAGTTCCAACATAGCATTTGGCAGAGGACAACAACACTCAGACCATAGCAGAGGGTTTTAAGCAGGGGGCAATGTGATCCTGTCTGTCTTTTGGGAAGATCACAGTGCTGACACCAGGAGGCAATTGTAGTGGCAATACAGCAAGAAAAGCTGGGAGGAAAGAGTGGGTAGAACACACAGATTTGGGGCATAATCTGTTGTGAACGATGAGGGGAAAGAGGGAGCTGACTTCAGTTTGGAGTACATGGGTGGACCTCAGCCTGGTGGACTTGCATGTGTTTGGGGGTTGGGGAGGTAGGGGCATGACGCTGTCCCCTGGGAGAGGGAACCAGGGATGAAGCAACCGGCAAACGTGTCTGCCAAGAGGGAAGAATCTGGAGAGTCTGGGGCCCTAAGAGCTGTCATTGTCCATCTTCACTATCTGTACCTGTTCTGAAATTAGCAGGGTAACATAACACATACCCTATGTCTCATGAGTGTTGTGCAGATGCCGTAAGGAAAACTGGAGAGTTAACCTTCCTTCTGCCACACCAACCTGTTCAAGCCAGAAGACACCCTGCCTTCCCCACCCAAGAGGCAAGATGGTCCCTGGCCTCCGGGCAGGACTAGACCCAGAGATCACCCTTAACCACCACAAATGAACTGCTCCATCTACCTTGCCCCTACTCTCAGACTCCCTAGCATCGGGTCTTTTGGCTGGATCAACCCTGCTGCTGCTCTCCCTCCCCCAGGCCCCAGTACATGCACAGACACCATCCCGTGGAAATTGTTAGGTAACAGGAGCCATTAAGAGCAACCACTCCTTGCGCAGTCAGCTGCCCACCGGCTGTCCATGCCTTCTGCAAAAGGTGATGTCATGCAACTGGGGGCCCAGCCCCTCATTCCTCACAGCCCAGAGAGCCAGCTGAGCTCCAGGCCTTCCCCTCCCACCTCCCTACTTAGGAGCAGTGGCAGTACCCAGGGAGGAGCCCCCAGCCCTGCCAGTTCTGGGCCCTGAAATAACTACACTGGAGCTCTGGGACTTGGGTCAGGCTAGAGGAGCCTGCGCTGCTCCACTCTAGACTCAAGCACCCTGACTTCCTGATGGTACACTAGAGCCCAGGCAGGCCAGTGGGGCAAGATTCAGCTCTCCTCACTTCCTCCACCAGAGGCTGCTCCTACATATCTGGCAAGGGCTTGCCCAAGGGGTGCCGCCTATGTCTTATCTGTCAGTTGGGCCCCTGCTGTCTAAGCCCCCAGCCCAGGCCAAGCCCATCCTGAGTGCCAGGAATCAGGGCAGCTGCAGCAAAAGGAAGCAAACCGGGAGCTCATTCTCAGAGACAGAGACTTGCTTGGGAACAAGGTACAGATTGAGTGCAGATGTCTGAGGAGCCAGAAGGATGGGTTGTGCAAGGAGGTTTCCCGGAGGGGGAGGTGCCCTGGAATGAAGTCGCAGGCGGCATACAGATTGGCTCCCCCACCCCTGAGCTTTAAAGGGTTGCAGGAGATAGGATGAGAAGAACAGCTCAAGAGACTCAGGCTTGAGGGAAGTTGCAGAGAGTTGGTGAAGGTAAAGCTCTGGGGGCCTCGTGTACACTGCCTGGCCTGTGAAGGTTACTGAACCTAGAAGACCCTCCAGCTGGCTGCTTCTCCCCTGCTGAATTTCACCTGCAGCGGCAGCATCTTCAATCTGAAAAACAACTTCCCAACTGTGACAGGTATGAGATTCCAGAACTTGGTGACCAAGGTGGAGCCTGGAGTCTCAGTTGGGCACAGATCCTCACAGGAGGGAGCAGAACCCTGGGGGATCCGGAAACAGGGCTGGGACTACAGGTGGAGTCTGGTAAGCCAGCCTACTGTCTGGTTCAGAGATTTTCCACTGAGAGACTCATGGCCACCAGAGGGCATCTCCACTCCATAGTGTGGCATCCTGGGGCTCCCTGTCCCCTTCTTGGAGAAATTGGGGAGATTGGGAGGAGGAAGCAGACAGGAATCTCTGAGCTCTCAGGGAGCTTCCAGCAACTGAATTAAACAGTGTCTGGAATCCGGAGACCTGGGTTCTAGTGGGTCCTAGTGCCTGTTCTGCCACCATCTTTCCTTCCCTTCAGTTGCCTCTGTTAAATGAGGGCTTGGACCACACAGTATCCTTTCAAGACCATAAGGCCCTTTTTAACTCTGAAACCCCAGGATTTGAGGAAATCATGCAAAGGGCTTGACAGATAGTGCATTTCCTGGGCCCAACCATACTCTAGGGTCCTTGAGGGCTCCAGTCCTCTGGCAGTGTCCTCTCCCGTGGCGTGGCGGCAGGAAGGCAGACTGGCCTGCAAAACTGAGGGGCAGTCTCCGCCTCCACGTCAGCCTGAAAGAGGAAGGGCACAACAGGGCTGAGAGACACAGGTGCTCTGCCCCACACCTGTGGAGTCCACGTATCCAGGCTTCAGGCAAGGAGGTGTCCATTAGGTAACCCTCTGGGACAGGCAAGGTGGTTACGTTGTCACACAGGAGGCTGCGCAAAACACCCTTTTGATGGGTCCTTTCTGGGATAAGCGCTGGAACGAATAGAATAGAAACCATTGCCTCTCCTGCCTTTGCACCCCCCTCCCCACCCCCACCACAGATGCCGTCTGTCAGGAGCAGGCAACAGACGGTCCAGGGGTCCATCTGTGCTAATGCTTCACAATAGAGTCCCATGTTTCCCCACTGACACCCCCTCGCCCCTCAGCTGATGGCCACTTGGTGGTGCCGGATTTCGGGGGGTGGGGAGGAGGGAGAGGAAGGCACTGAGGAAGCCGGCTCTGAGCTCCCAGCAGTCCCCAGCCCCCCTGCCCCCATCCAGCACGCAGGCTGCCATCTGGATTTGTGCGATCACTGAGGGGTGGAAAAGCACCCTTTCCCACCCACACCTCCTGTAGGGGCTGGGGGCCCAGAAGGCTGGGAGCAGGGAAGAGACAGAGTCAGGGAGACAAGATGAGGAGGCGAGTGGATGGAGACGGACCTGTGAACTGAGATGGGCGGGAGACAGAAAGCCGTCCCTGGCCTCCTCAGGTGGACGCAGCCACTTCCCCTCAGTGCTCCTCAGGCCACGTGTCTGACACAGCACATGTACAAAGTACTGCTCCCTACCAGACCAAGAGCTCTGTGACGCCAGAGCTGCGCCTGTACCCGGCACGCAGCGGGGCTTAAGTGTTGGATGAATGAAGAACTGAAGGCCACCTGGGTTTGGATCTCAGCTCTGCCACTGAGTGACTTGGTGCTGTGTGACTTAGTACCCTCTCTGGACCTCTGTTGTCCTATCTGTAAGGGACCATGATGGTACTTACCTCACAGGGTTGTTAGGAAGACCAAGTGAGTTAATATACGTATGTAAAAGCACACCAAGAGCAAACAGTGTGCACAGCACACGGTAAATGCTCAATAAATGCTAACTATAAAGGTGTAACACAGATTTGGGAAGACTGGAGGAGGGGACAGAAAGAGACAGTGCAGCCCTGGCCTCTGTCAGGACACGGAGTCCCCAGCTTGTGGTGCTGATGTCCTGTGGTGGCTAGCTGCTCTTTAGACACCAGACGCTGCCTTCCACTTCCTCCTCTCACTTCTTATTCGGGCACCACTGACGACAGAGACTCAGCTGGGCCATCCCCGCCCGCCTCTCCCACAGGCTGGCAGTCATGGTAACAAACATAATGGGGGGATGGTCCCTAAGACAGGGTCAGACAATGGCTGAGGATCGCCCCCCAACGCTGAGCACCCACTCAGCTTGGGCTCATCCCCAACCCCAGGAGTCAACTCCATAGTAAGGCGCTGCCTGCGGGAAGGGGGCTCTGAGCCCAACATCAGGAGCGGAGGAAAGGGGTGTAGCAGGGACCATTCCAGACCCTCGGAGGGGACAGGCCAGAATTAAGCCTACTGCTTTTAGGGTTTCCACCTCTTCTCTTTCCCCCCTAGACGTGGGAAGGGAAGGCAGCCTCTTTCGGGTCTTCCGGGCAGCTGTGTAAAGGGGAAATCCTGGGCCCTCTTACTCCCTGGGGGCTTCTGCGCAGTCAGTTCAGGGGCATCTCCTCCCTCCTCCTTCAGAGAACTCACCCCTCCCGCCCTACAGGCCCGCAGCCTCTCTCCCCTGGCCTAGAGTCTCCTGCAGCCCCCTGGATCTTCTCAAATCTTCCCCGGGAAGCCCCAAGCTTCCTAACAATGACCCCTTACAGTGTCCCCCTCCCCCATGAATCAACACGCGCAACGCCCCTTCGCAGAGCCCCTCCAGGCAATGCCCCTTCACAGACCCCCTCCAGGTATCGCGCAGACCCCTGGCCCGCCCCGGGATGTCCTCTCCCTCCTCCCCTCCGCGCCTAGGTTTCCCCAGTTGAGCGTCCCCTGCCTGGCCTGCCGTCGAGCGCTGTGGGCGGGACTCCGGGGCTGCTGCCCCCCCGAGGGGCGGGGCCTGCCGCGCCTGGGGGCGGGGCCACCGGAGGCCGCGCCCGGCCGGGTTCCTGGAGCCTATAAAGCGAGGCGACCCGCTGCCCGCCCGGCTGGCATCCCCAAGCCGCCGCCAGCCCCGCCAAGCGGAGCCAGCGCCGCCACCGAGGGGCGCCCGGCGCCGGAGCCATGACCCTTCGCCGACTCAGGAAGCTGCAGCAGAAAGAAGAGGCGGCGGCCGCCCCGGACCCCGCCACTCGGGCTCCCGACTCGGAAGTCGCTCCCGCCGCTCCCACCCCGACTCCGGCCTCGGGCCCCCCTGCTGCAGCCGCCACCCCTGGGCCCCCGGGGGACGAGCTGTATGCTGCGCTGGAGGACTACCACCCTGCAGAGCTGTATCGCGCGCTCGCCGTGTCCGGGGGCACCCTGCCCCGCCGAAAGGTGCGTCCCCCAACCCCACCCTCAGCTCCCGTGACCCCCAGCGTCCCTTCCTCGGGACCTGCTCCACCCCACCACATTCCCCCATCAGTTGCTGCTCACCCACAGTATTCTCTCCTCGGGGTCCACTGAGTCCCCTACCTTCTTCCCCAGCCCACCCGCAGGCCCCCGTAGACTCCCCTCGGCCCCCTTGTCAGTAGGCGCGAGGCCCCCGCCCGCGCCCCCGCTGCTCTGAAGGCTGTGGGCCTCCCCTCCGGGCCGCCTCCAATCCGGTAGCTCTCAACTCCACTCCCCACGCTCCGCCGCCCCGTCTGGCTCCCTCTCGCCTTCCTGGACTCTTCCCCAGCACCCCCTTCCCCTGGTCGCTCCATCTGGCTTTCTGCTCCATGCCCCGCCTCCCGTGTCCAGGTGTGTCTAAGTCCCCAGGACTCCCTCGCCCAGACCTCTCCGGTTGGAGCCGGGAGGGGTAAGGAGGCGGTGCTGCCGCTCGCCCCAGACGAGTTGAGGGTCCCAGAGCCCTGGGTGGGAGAGGGGGGCCGGTGGCCGCGCCGCGTGCGTTCTCACGCCGAGGGGTGCGTGGGGCGCCGCGGACTCCGGAGAGCACACCCTTCGAGGGGACACCTGGATTCCGAGGCTGAGGCTCGGGGCCGGCCGCCTTGCCCCACGTCTGACGTGCGGGGTGCGAGGGCCAGAGCTCCCTGGACCTCAGCCGGAACCGGACGGCGGGAGGGGTCGCAGGGCGCCCGCAGGGCAGGAAGGATGCGGCCCCGCCCGCCCCGAGTCTCCCCCTCCGCCAGGCTCTTCCTCTGGCCCGAGGGGACCTGAGCGCTCAGAAGCGACTTGAGAAGCAGGTTAAGGAGAGGGGCCTGGTGGCCTTTCCCCACTCAGACCCCCTCCTCCTACCCTGGCCCCCGGATCCCCCCCACACAATGAACAGCTTGTTGAGAATTTGCATTTTATGAAAATCGGGTTGAAAGACAAAGGGGTCTCTCTGTGCTGCCCAGTCCTTCCTTCTTGGCCCATTTGGGAACTGTCCCCTCCCCTGAGGCTAATCTTTGATTTGGGAGAAAGAGGGCTCCCTTCTTCTCCTTGCCTTGAGGCAGCTTGGGGGACAGTTAACAGGGGCACAGACCTGGAAGGCCCTGGGCTGTTTGGCTGCTCTGGGACTGGGCTTCCTCCAAGGACCAAAAATTTAGAAAGGGAAAGACATTAGTTTATCAAAGGCCCTGAAGAGACAAGAACCTTCAGCTCTGTCACTTCTCCCCACAAAAAGAACTCCCAATTTCTCTCCTTAAGTATAGTGAGACTTACTGTCAAGTTTGACATCTAAGATTTTTTTTGTCCCAGAAAACAAACAAACAAAAATATGGTAATGTTGAGAGACCGAGGTATAGCTGGGCACAGCTGGTCATAGCTAGTCACCTCCAGCTGGGATCCATAGTTGGTCCCTGAACAGCCTGTACTTTAGGAAACATGGCACCTCCTTCTCTTACACATTCTGGCTGGGATTGCCAGCCCCTGACCCCAGCTCTCCCAAGCCACACTATCTTTGGCTGAGAAATTAGGCGGAGAGACCTGACTGTCAGGGGGTCCCTGGAATACCTTGATAGGTGAGCGCAGGGTTTGAATACCTGACCTTCTTTGAATCCCATTGGGAAGAGCCCCTGCCTCAGCATTCAAAGTCTGGAAGGCATGAGCCCCCACAGACATGGCCTAGGGGATGGAGACCATTCTAGGGTAATGACTCCCAACTCTACCCCTGCCAGTGTGGAAACCAGCAGGAGGCTTAGAGGTCCATGCAGCTGGAACCCAAGAGGATGGTTGTGACCCTGTAGTTCCAGGTATGGGAGTATAGCCTGAGGAGAAAGCTAAGGAGTGACGCCAATAGTAGCAATCAGCACCAAAGCAGGTGTGGCATTGGGAAGGGACAGACAGGCAACAGGAAATGCAGTGTTGTGTCCAGAGCTGGAGCCCAGGTGAGGGACCTCTTAGAGTAGGGCTCTCAGCATCTGCTCAAGGACAGCCCCCCTCACCTGCTCTTTCCTGACTGTCTTCCTGCCCAGGGCTCAGGATTTCGCTGGAAGAATCTCAACCAGAGTCCTGAGCAGCAGCGGTGAGTCACCTCCACCCAGCTCCTGCCACGGTCCAAAAGGGTGCGGTGCTGGGGGGGGGGGCACACAACATCTCAGCCCTACTGGCTGTGGTGAGAGTCATTCTCCCACCCTTTAAGCACAGCTCCTCCACTGGGAGAAGGGGGCAGGTGGGGGTGTGGGCTGTGTGAAGGGGTGGCAGAAAAAGGAGGTGGGGACTTTTGAGTCATTAGGTACTCCTCAGCTCACCCCCAGCTTCTGCCCCTCCCTGGGGAGATCTAGATCATGAGAGCTTGGAGGTGGGAAAGCAGGCAAAGTTTGTGGGGATGTCCTAACCAGGCCTCCTGGGCTCCCCTGAGCCCTCCCAGCCCCAGCAAACCCCAGGGGCCCAGTCCCTCGCCAGGCTACATCCAGCTGCTTGGATCTGGCTACCCTGCCTCCAGAGTCTCGGTGCTACTATGGCCCCACTCTGTGGCAGCCCTCTGTGGAGGTATTTAAGGTGTGGGCAGAAGTAGGTGCCCACCCCAGGACCTGGGACCCCACAATTCCCCTTCTCTGCTCATATCTGTCCCTGATTTAGGCTTGACTTCCTCTCAAAGGGATCAGCAAACTATGCCAGCTGGCCATATTGGCCTGTTTGGCCCTTGAGCTAATAATCGTTTTTATATTTTTTAAACAGTTGCAAAAAATAAAAGCAAAGAGCAGTATGTGACAGCGGCTGTATAGGGCCCACAAAGAAAGCCTAAAATGTTTACCATCTGGCCCTTTGCTGACCCTTCCAGAAAACCAGAGAACACTGGGGTAGACATGGAACTCCCAGTCACCCTGCCCCCTGCCCTGATATGTGCAGATAGGGAAAGGCCTGCGGTTCAAAGTGAGAGGAGCTCAGGTTGGAGCTGGGAGGTGCTGCTCAGCATTTGGGGGGAATATCTGGGTCAGGCTGGGAGCCGAGGGGCCTGGGCTCCAGGGCCTGTCTTAGGCTGTGAAACTTGAAGGGGCCTTTGGAGGCTGCTTTCACTCTGCCTCTGGCTAGGCGGGAAGGAAGGGGGTGGGGGTGGGCAGAGGAAACTCTGGGCTCCCCAGCAGGCGAGCATCTGGAGCAGCTCCAGACCATTGTGTCCAGTGGGCAGGCCTGCAGTGCGGGAAGGGGCGGCCTGGAGCCTCCCCTCCCCCAGCCCCACATCTGGTGGGCTGGCCCCACCGCAGCTGGGAGGAGCAGCTGTGGTCTGGCTGAGCCTCGTGACTGGCCTCTGGGGGAGGGGCCAGTCCTCTCCCCAGTGCTGTAAAGCAGAGGAGGCTCCTGCCTGGGGCTGAATTTGGGGCCTCAGCTAGTCAGTAAGTGGCACTGGGGTGGCCAACCATTCCCAGTGCCACCCTCCCCACAGCAAGAGGCTGGACTGATTCTGTGCAGCTCCACAAGGCTGATTTCAGTTCGGTGTGGGAAGGACATTCCCATAATCTGTGACGAGAGTGAGTTGTCACTGGAAACCGCGAGTCCTGCTGGAATGTTCTAGACCAGACCCCAGCCTCCGGGGAGGCCCAAGACATGAGACCGACATTATCCTTTCAGTCCCAATAGTCTTGACCCTGTGTCTCCCACAGGAAAGTGCTGACTTTGGAGAAGGAGGATAACCAGACCTTCGGCTTTGAGATCCAGGTGGGAGAAGCTGCGTGAGAGGGATGAAGGGTTGGAAGGCGGGTCTGTGGGATGGATAGACCCACGCTGCCCCCAGCTGAGGGTGCTCTTGTCTGTTACAGACGTATGGCCTTCACCACCGGGAGGAGCAGCGAGTGGAGATGGTGACCTTTGTCTGCCGAGTTCATGAGTCCAGCCCTGCCCAGCTGGCAGGGCTTACACCAGGTGGGGCCTGGGCCTAGGACACAGGACTTTGGGAAGGGGCTGTGACCTTGCTCCCAAGCAGAAGGGGTGAGAAATCTCCCCTGAAATTAATCCCCTTCCTCCTCTTACTTTGAGAAAGCCAGAAAGAAGAATGGATAGAAGCCAGGCTTTGGAGCCAGTGAATTTGCCATTTACCATGTGATCCTACACTGTCCCATCTGCAAAATGGGGGTAATAATATGTTCCCCCATCCCTCCCTCCCTCACAGTGAGAGGATTCCCCGGGCACAGTGCCAGAGCCTGGTAAACAGTGGATGTTGCTGCTGCTGCTGCTGTTTTGCTCCCTCCTGGCAATCTGGTGACCCAGTCAGTGCTGGAGCTGCCCAAGAAGCCACATTCCATGTGATCTGCTTGATATTGGGGGTCAGGTCCTATTCAGCCCCAACCTAGCGCAACTCTGGGGAACCTATGTTACTTCCTCGAACAAGGAAATAATGCCTCAGTAGGAGACCCGCTGGGATCAAGCAAATCTAGAGTCTCCAGGTTCCAGGAAGGGGCAGGCTGAGACTGCATGAATTGCTGCCCTCCCCCCAATTCTATCACCATTTTTGCCCCTAAGCCCTTACCTCCTTGCCCACTTACCACAAGCCTTTGGTAGCTGTTCATTTTCTGTTGCTATGACAGAATACCTGAGACTGGGTAATTTATACAGGAAAGAAGTTTATTTAGTTCATGGCTCTGGAGGCTGGGAAGTTCCAGTTGGGCAGCTGTGTCTGGCCAGGGCCTTATACTATGTCTTAACATGGTGGATGACATCTCGTGGTGGAAGTACATACAAGAATGGCAAGCAGGCATATGCAAAAAAGATAAAACACAAGCAGCAGGCTCACTTTATATTAATAACAGTCTGCTGTTAAGGTAACTAATCACTCTGCCAGAGCAAGAACTCATCCTAGCAAACAGCATTAATCATGAGGGCAGATCCCTCATGACCCAAATGCCTCTCAAAAGTCCTACCACCTCTCCGCACGGTTACACAGGGAATGAAGCCTCAGCCTGAGTTTTGGTGGGGACAAACCATATTCAAACCATAGCAGTAGCCAAGTGGTACATTGCAACTTTGCAAAGTAGTTTCACACACTCCCCGCTGTCAGCTGTCATCCCTGAGGTAGCCACAGCAGAGATCCATACCCCCTTTCACAGATTGGAAAGAGTCCTCCGAGACAGTGGCATGCCCTGCCTGAAGCCTGGAGGCTTTATGTTGGCACAGGGTATCAGAAGCTGAGGCCTCATGCCTGGGGCCAGGGTTCCCAGCTGGGTGCTACTCCCCCTGCCCCCTTCCTGTCTCCACTGGGTCTCATGACAGGCGTGGGCTGGACATAAATAACCAACTCTGGGGGCAGCACAGGGGCTGGGAGTGCTTAGCCTTTGAGGACAGCTTCCTGAGGGTACGGTTAAGTGTGGGTGTATGAGGGCCCAGCCCCTCTGAGGTCTCCAGCCCCTCTGCTAGGGTGCTGGGCCAGGACAAGCTGGTAGTCACTAGAGGCAGGGAAGAGTAGCTGTGGTTCTGAGTGTGTGAGTTGAATGGGGTGAAAGAGATGTCAGAGGAGGGCTCCCAAAACTGTGAGGAGTCAGGGAAAGGAGTTCAGGAGTATTCGTGGGGCTTGCTACCATTTCCCTTTCCGGCCAAGGTAGGGGGCTGGAATTCTTCCATCATGCCCCATGGAGCAGATGCTGAATCCCTCTCTGCCTGGCAGGGGACACCATTGCTAGCGTCAATGGCCTGAATGTGGAAGGCATCCGACATCGAGAGATTGTTGACATCATTAAGGCGTCTGGCAATGTTCTCAGGTATGTCTGTCTAGCTGCGGTGGTGCCTGAGGGTTCCTGGGCTCAGCCTCTCGGTTTCCTCAGCCTGGGAGCTCACTCAACCTTTGATCCCCCAACCTCAGACTGGAAACTCTGTATGGGACATCAATCCGGAAGGCGGAACTGGAGGCGCGCCTGCAGTACCTGAAGGTAAGGGAGCCCGGCGATGTCCAGCCTCCTTGCCTCTTCCCAAGCCCCTGCCCTTCAGCTGCTGCTCTTTTTTAGGGGATCATTTATGTCTGAACCTCCTTTAACATTAAGTTTCTTCTGGCTATTCCCTGATCCCTCACTCTGTACCCACATTCTGCTCATTTCCTGGTAGCTCCTGACAGTGGGGTGGGGCCGTCTCTTGCAGCAAACCCTGTATGAGAAGTGGGGAGAATACAGGTCCTTAATGGTGCAGGAGCAGCGGCTGGTGCACGGTGAGTAGGCTGGGGCGTGGAGGGCCACCCCCTCCCCTACCGACGCCCCCACCTGTGCTTCCCCCTCAAAACTAGTGCATTACTCCCCTCTCCAAAGTGAAGAAAGGATTGTTGAGCTCCTACTTTGGGTACAGTACTGTCCCGGGCTGCTACCCACTCGTTTATTTTCACAATAGCCCCCTGAACGCAAGTACTAGACAGTATCGTCTCCATTTTACACACTGGAACACCGAGGCTCAAGGAGCTAACTGCAATCCTTCCCAAGGCCCTGTGTCACAAGTGGTCCTCCTGAGGCTCTGAGTTGTAATCCCTGCTTTACAGACCAGGGGAGTAGGGGCTCAGGTTTGTGATTTGCCAGGGCCACACAGATGGTCGATAGGAAGGAACTGAGATCTCGAGCTCGTGCCCTCTGAGGCTTTGCCAAGGACACATCCGACTCCAGGCCTGACGGCCCTTCTGCCTCTGCAGGCCTCGTGGTGAAGGACCCGAGCATCTACGACACGTTGGAGTCGGTGCGCTCCTGCCTCTACGGTGCGGGCCTGCTCCCCGGCTCGCTGCCCTTCGGGCCTCTGCTCGCCGTGCCTGGGGGCCCCCGCGGGGGCGCACGGCGGACCGGGGGCGACACCGACGACGCTGTCTACCACACGTGCTTCTTTGGGGACTCGGAGCCACCCGCGCTGCCACCCCCGCCGCCGCCCGCCCGCGCCCTGGGGTGCCCCGCCGAGGTCCCGAACCCCGGGTCGTGCCCGGGGCCTCGGGCTGCGCTGAGCCGCAGCGCCAGTGTGCGCTGCGCGGGCCCCGGGGGCGGCGGGGGCGCGCTCTGGACTGAGGCCCGCGAGCAGGCCCTGTGCGGCGCCGGCCTGCGCAAAACCAAGTACCGCAGCTTCCGCCGGCGGCTGCTCAAGTTCATCCCCGGACTCAACCGCTCCCTAGAGGAGGAGGAGAGCCAGCTGTAGGGGCGAGGGCGGGCAGGGGAGGTATTTATTTATTTATTCATTCGTATCCGCCAGTGCAAAGTGGGGGTGCCGGGCCAGGAGGACCCCAGGAGCCCAAAGCAGTGGGAGAGGGTCCTTGTGAGCCCCGGCCGGCTGGCTGAGGGAGTGGGGGGCCCAGACCCCTTCTCTCCTCCTCCCCTAAACCACAGTGGGAGCTGGAGCAGGGGGAGAACCAGGCAGTCGGGGTTGGGAGAGGTTTGGGGGCCAAAGATGGGTCATGCTATCGTACAGTCTGGGTCAGTAGTGCCTTGTGGGATGTCCAGGAACACTCCCCCACCGGGGAGTGGAGGACCCTGTCCCACGAAGCCCTCTCCTCAGCTTTACCTGCTCCCCCGGCCCTTAGCCCTGGGGAAAAATGGCCCATGGTGAGCCGTCCCCCACCCTCCACACACACACACAGTTCCAGTGGGCCCCAGGGCGCCTAAGGTGCTGGTTCCCTCCCTCCTAGCCTTGACCCCTAAGGGCTTGGCCCCTTCCGGGGGCCTGTAACTACGTGGGGTCCTGGGACAGGGGTCCTGGGTTCTGTGCGCCTTGGGGACAGGAGCCAGCATATTCAGGTGGGGTGGGGGCAGCACAGACTGCTCCACCGTTTTGCATATTGTTGCTTCTGAACCACAAAGTATATAAAATTGACGGTTTTTTTGCATCTGTGTCAGCGTGGTGACTGCCTGAGGGGGAGGACTGGGCTCTGGCAAGCTCTGACTCCACCTCGAAGCCCCCTCCAAACACACACACACACACACACACACACACACACACGCACACGCACGCACACTGTGTTTTACATCTTATTTTCCTGCAGCCTGAAGCCAAGGAAATAGTCTGGGAGATGTTAATTTACATGCATGGGCCTGAACTAGAGGCGCCACACCCTCATCAGACCTTGGGCCTCTTGTTTAAATACATCTTGAGCCTCCCTCCCCAAATACCCACAACAGGTGGTGGCCAAGGCTTATCTAAAGTCCTTAACTATCCCTGTGGAAATAAGTGTGCTTGACAACCCTCTCTTCCCAGTCTGAGGTCTCCCTTGAAGGGGCAGAAGCCAGATCTACAGGGCACCATAGCCATCATCCCCCCAGCCTGTGACAGGCCCCCATCACTGCTCACTCCACTGTTCTAGAACTCAACAGTTTCCAGTACTCTTAGAATGAGATCCAACTCCCAGGCTGTAGTGTCTGACCCCTGCCGGCCTCCCCTCACTCCCTACTCTTGCTGCAGTGGCAGCCGTACCTGGTGCACTTCAGACCCCCTTCCACTGGGTCTCTGCAGTGCTCTTCCCTCCCAGGGTTCCTTCAGTCTTCAGCTCTGCCCTGCAAAGGCCTTCCCAGCCAGTTGAAAAGACAATCATACCCTCCTCTGTGATTCCATCATAGTACATACACTTCACCATCCAAAATTGTCTTGATTTTTATGGGTTTTGAGTTTTGCCTGTGCTGCCCACCCGTCGGGATGCATGCTCCTTGCCTCAGGACTCAGGGACCCTTTCTGTCTGAGTCACTGCTTGCTTCTTGCCTGCTACTAGCACGTAGTAGACCCTCTATATGGTGTGTGCTAAAGCATCTCCAGGAGGTGTTCACCACCTTCTTTGAGGTGACCTAGGGCAAGTGACCTGTCTAGGGTCATATAGCAAGCTAGTGGCACAGGTGGCCTTGGGATTTGAGACTCCTGCTCCAGTGCTCTTCCCTGGCAGTAACCAGCATACACCGGGTGGCTTTAAGAGAGGTCTTCATGGACCTTCCCACCCTCTTCCCTCCTCCACCTCTGTATTTGCCTCCCGAGTGGGTTCCCTGTTTCCTCTTGACCCTGGCCCATCCCTTTTCCACACAGCAGTCAGGGCAGTTTTCAAAAAGGAAGATGGATGACAACCCTCCTCTGCTTAAAACTCATTATGGCTTCCCCTGGAATAAAAGAATAAAGTCCAAACCTTTACTGTGGCCTGTCCATAACACATTGTCCCTCTGGGCAGACAAATTACAAAAGGGCATCCTTTTCTCTGGGTTAACAGCAGCCACAGAGGCCCAACAATTTGGCCCCTGGGAGCCTTTGTGCAGCACCCTACTTTTGCAACTATATTGGAATGCCCTGCATGAGACCCTCCAGGATCTGGTTCCTGTCTCTGTCTTCAATCTCAAGTTGTTTCTCCTTCCATGTCACTTATATATCTAAGCCATACAACTCTTTCTGTTCCTAATATGGCAAACCCTTTTCTGCCTCTGGCCTTTGCTAATGCTGTTCTCTCCACCTGGAATACTGTCTTTGCAAGACTGATTCCCCCATCCTCAGGTCTCAGCTTAAACATCACCTTTGCAGAGAGGTTCCCCTGATCTGATCTGGAGTAGTTCCCTGTCCCCATTATGCTTTACCTGGAGTCCCTACTTTTTTTCTTTATGGCACTTTCTCCCAGGTGGTAATTATACTGACAACTTTTGTATCTGTCTCTTGCCTTTGTGAGCGCAGAAACCCCAGCCTTGTTTAAAGTGGCGCCTCAGGGCCTAACATGGAGCCTAGCACGCAGGAGGGGTTCAAGAAACACATGCAGAATGAGTGATGCCCCTCTGGGGCCACCCTGCATAGAATTAACCACCTCCCACCTTGGCCCCTTCTCTGTTCCATCTGTAGCTGGCAGCTGTGGGCCTTTCTCCCCAAATCCCCTTGGGGCTGGGTGGTTGCTCCAGCCAGAGCACCTGCACCTGGCTGCCCTGCCCTCCCCAATCCTGGGAAGAGTCCCTGTTTGAACAGCTGCTATGCAGCGATGACAAACATCAGCTCCCAGGGGCTCAGGTCTAGGGAAGGGGCCCTCTCACACCTTTGTTCCCAGAGCCCAGGGCTGCCAGGAGACCAACTGTCTGGGCACTTAGTGGGCGCAGGTGGGGGTGGGAGCTGCAGGGAGATTTTTCCTCCCAGAGTAGATTTCCAACCCCACTCCCACCGGTCTGTCCCCACTCCCTGCCATGCAGCTAGTCTTGGGAGTGATGTCAATGTTCCCTCACCCCGGCTGATGGGGCTCCTGGCCAGTGGCCGTATGCACCCAGGGGAGGGTGAGGGGTGCCCAGGGCGGGGCTGGATCCCACCTCTCAGCTGATGAGATGACGGCACCAGCACAGCAGCCTCCTGCCGTGTAGGTGGGTGACAGGGAGTGACTAATGTGCGAGCTGCGATGCTAAAAATTAACCCAGGGATCGTGTTTGGCGGAGGGGGTGGGGGTGGATGGGAAAAGGAGCAGGGACTCAGAATATTGTGTGGTCGGTATTCCCCCTGCCCTGCCTCCCCTCCTTCGCCTCCCACCAGCCTTCTGCTCCTCTCAAAGCCTCAGGGGACTCTGAGGGAGCCCTTCCTCCACCCCAAGACAGAAGGGGCCCCCAACAATTCCAGGGGAGGAGAGTAGACCCCACTCCAGGTCTCATGCATGGTGGGGTAAGGACACCGCCCTGCAAATGGGGTTCTGGTCTGAAGTCCCCACAGACCAGAGGAAGAAGGAAGGGGTGTGAGAACAGGGTCAAGGAGATGGAGAGGAATCAGTGGGGCCTGCAAGGCTGTGGGGCTCACTATGGGAGAAGAGGCAGGGGCCCAGCGGATATAGGAAGGCAGGATCTGTAAGGGCAGCGTCTGAGATGCGCCAGAGAGCAAAGGGAGGAGGGCATGGTCCAGAGGGAGCAGTCCCATGCGTGTGGGTGCTGTCCTGGAGTAGGGTGCGAACATCCATCAGAGTAGGGGAGAGGGGCGGGCTCTTGGGACTTGGTTCGGGCCATAGAAGGGGCGTGGGCTTAGAGAAGAGCTTCACTGGCACATGCGAGAAAACCTGTTAGACCATGAGCACTTCCATTTCCCCTGGAGACCACAGCAGAGAGCTGGAGCTGAAGGCAGCAGGAGAGGGTGAGGCAGCAGGAGGCACTGTCTGCCCACCAGCCAGACGCTCGCACCGCTGGGGAAGTGAGGGAGGCTGTGGGATTCCCCGGGTCAGCAGAGACGTCAGTTCGCTTGGTTGGGATGTTTTCTGGTCCTGCATTGACGGGTGGGTGAAGTGACCTTAAGGAGGGGGTGACGGGCTCAGAGAAGTACGAGAGAAAAGGACCCGGGGTTGTAGAGAGGGAAGAGGGACCACGGAAGGCTTGTCCGTAAACAGCCCAGCGACGAGCACTGCGGAGTAGAGCAGCGCGCTGACCCCTGCTGGTGACCGCGAGCACTGCACCTCTCTGGGCCTTGACCACACCACGTGGAGAGAGGGCAGGAGTAGGGTTGTCCCACCAGCCAGTGCTGTGAACATCCTCCCCTCTCTCTTCCTCAGCCCTGCTCCGCACTCTTACAAGGTGGAGCCTCCTCTGATCGCCACAGCCCCTTATCTGAAGTGCTCTGACACCCTCCCATCCCATCTGCTCCCCATTGCCTCTGCTCAGCCCCCACTGTGGGCTCCCAAGGGCGCCAGCACTACCCCATTCGCCTCTGTGGCCTGAACTGTGCCTGGCACTGAGCGGACATTCAGGCAGCACTGACTGACGGCCGGTGTGTGCGAAGGAATGAATGACCAGAGTTCAGAACAGTGAACTTAATTGATTTCAACCAACGTAACTTCTCTGTGCAGAACTCTGCGTTGTGGACTGGGGTGGGGAGGAGAAGGAAGCACACTTGCTAAACTGTGAGACACAGGAATGAATTTATCTATCTATCTATCTATCTATCTATCTATCTATCTATCTATCTATCTATCATCTATCTATCTATCTATCTATCTATCTATCTATCTATCTATCTTGTCTATCTACCTATCTATTTATTTAGAGATGGGATCTGGCATGGTGTCAATATGGTGACCTCCCAGGAGGTGGGACCACCAGGTTGCCTAACACACAAGAAGTTTTGCTGTAAGGGAGACCTCCTAAACCTCAGGGAATCTTCCCTTCCTGAAGTTTGGCCTTTTGGTGAGAACATACAAGTTTATGCAAAAAGTAAAAATCATTCAACTACTGCCTCTGGGTCTCTTTTCTCACTGCTCCCCTACAGAGTCACTTAACCGCCTTCTTCACATCTGGTGTGGTCCACTCAGCAACCCCCCAGAGTGACAGTCCATCCAGGCCCCCGGAAACGTAGCACCTTCTTTCCAGATCTCTCTCGACTGTCCGGTTCTAGCCACCCTCTCTGAGGAACGAGCGTGGTATCTGGTAGAACGCAAGCAAGAGCTGCGTTACCAACTACAGCAGCGAATCGCCTGGGGGACATGTAACAGTGGATGGGATCCACCCCTACCTACCCTTATGACTCTGATCCAGGAGTTCTGGGGTGGGCTGGGGCGTTGATATTATTAAAAGCACCGCAGTTGCTCCATAACGATTCATTGAAAGGATGCTGAATGAAGATGATTCTAGATGAATCTACACAAAACCTTGGAACTCAAAATACTGACAGAATTCGGCCCCCCTGGGGTGGTTTCTCCTGGGGGAGCTGAGGACCTGTGCCTCCCGCTGGTCCAGAACCACCTTCTGCGTCGTGGTATAGGCTTTAGTATGAACAGTGGCCATCTCCCCGACAGACCAGGAGCTCTTGAAGGACAGGGATCCCATCAGACGGACGCATCTGTGTCCCCACCGCGGCTGGAGTGGGGGGCGGGACCCAACGCAGTGTCCAGGACCCGGCTGGCCTGGTGTATGCAGCCCTGGGCCTGAGGGGAGGGTAGAGGAGGCGGGGTGTCTAGGGGTTCGCGTCTAGACTAGGAGTTGGGGGTCGGCATGGAGAGATCAGACTGGTGGTGGTGCTGGGGGTTGGAGCCCCATGCGCTGCCCAAGAGGCTGCAGGCTTGACCTTCGAGTTCTGGGCTTGGTGGAAGTGGGGTGCGGGTAGGGGCGCCACTCCAGTGGAGTCAGCTGCGCACCCTCTTCCCACCCTGGCCCACCCTGGGGCTGAGGGGCTGAGGGCTGAACTGCAGAGGCAGGCTCCGGCCTAGGGGCGCAGCCGCCAGGAGCCGGGGTGGGCGCGGAGACCGGGTTGTGTTCTGCTGGAGGCTGGGAGGGAAGCAGGTGGCAGTGCCAGAGTGAGTAACCGCCTCCCCGAGCGGCAAATCCCGCCGCCTCAGGAAGTCCCGGAGACGTCGTGCACCGCGCCCCCCGCCCACGCCGGCCCTTCTCCGCGTACAGGCCCACCCGCGCTCGGCTCCTCCAGCTCGCGCCCGCCGCAGACGCGCGGCGCCCCCGCACGCTTGACCCCGTTCCGGACGCCGACGCAGCGCCCCCGGCAGCCTCCCTGCAGCTCCCCGCTTCCTCCCTGGCTCCGGCTCTTCCGCCACCCCTCTATCCCCGCGCGCCTCAAACCCCAGCCCGCCGCGCCGCTCCCCACCCCCCGGGTCCCCACCCCCCGGGTCCCCACTCCCCCGGTGGGCGTGGCCGGGCAGGGCTGCGGACTTGCGGGCCGGCGTCGCCCTCTGCCGGGCAGACTCGCGAACTGCTACACCTCGCCACCCCGGCCCTTCGCCGCCTGGTCGCACACCTTCCTCTAGGCTCTGCCGTCCCGCTCCTTTCCTTGACCTGAGGACTCGGAATGTGTAGATGTCGGTCCGGTCCCAGCTATGCCGCAGGCTGTCTGCGGGAGAGTCGTGGCCCTACCCGAGGATCGGGTTCCTTCCCTGTGAAATGCTGCGCTGAGACCAGAGGCACAATAGTGAAGAAATGAGATGAGGTTGCTATTAATGCCAGGGGCGTTCTTTCCTGCCTTGCGGGGGGCGGCTGGAGGGGGGTGGGCTCATCTTTCTCCCTGCCCAGGGCCCACTGTGGGAGGAGAGGCATAATTCATCCTCTAGAGATCATCACATGGGGTGTATGGCCTTCAGGCTTTTTTCTACGTACACACGTATTTTAATACGATTGTGGACATTCTCTACATGATGCTTTGTGTCCTGCCTTTTTTTTTTTTTTTAAATCCTGGACTCTAGAGTCAGACAAAACTGGATTCAAGTCTTTGCTCTGTAACTTTATATTTCTGTTCTTGAGCAAATCACATAACCTCTACCTTCCTCTGCCTCAGTTTCCTCATCTGCAAAATGGCGATATTGCCAGGAGTGGCCGCTTCACAGGCTGTGGGAAAGCCTGCACGTGCCTCAGTGCAGGCCGGCCAGCGCTACTGCTTTGAGCAGGACTATTCTGCAGCTGTGGGAGTCCCGGGCCTGCCGGTGCTCTGCCTTCTCCATGAGCCACAGCGGTGAGGAAGGAGTCCGAGGCCACTGCCTCTTTGGCTTTGCTCTCTGCCCAGCGCCGCCGTGACCACGCGGGCCTCATTATGTCTCCAGTGCACCCCGAATTGCCCCATCTCAGCGCCTTGCCACTCTCCCTGCGTCTGGATGGACTTTCCTCCACTTAGGGTCGTTCCCTCACTTCCCTTGTGCCCCTGCTACATTGCCGCCGCCTCCAAGAAGCCTCCCCTGACTGTTCTTTATCACTAGCACCCTCACACATTCTCTAGCCACCTGCACTGCTGTTTTTCTTTATAGCTCTTCTCATTATGCGACATTATCTTATATATGTTTGATCCGTATTCCTCCTCTAGAATGTACCTCATGAAAGGTAGGGACTTTTTGAGGTTTTCTCCCCACCTCTGTGGTTTCTAGATGAGTGTCTGGCACATAGTAGGCCCTGGGTAGATTTTTGGGTGTATATGAATGGTTTCCACGCTTCTCGTTTATAAGAGGCAGCAGTGCCACTTATGTCCAGTAGAGGGCACCACCACACAGCACTTTGGGAGCGTTGGGGCTGATGCTAGAATGGAAGGTATTTATAAAGTCCACAGGACTCTCCCCTCCCATTCTGTGGGCGCTCCAACGGCTGGGACCGGAAGCAGGAGGGCCCCCTGCGCTAATCTGCCCTGGCAGCGGGGAGCTGGCATGCACTCGCCGCTTGATCCGGTGTGCTCTGGTGCCCGAGGCTGGAATACCCTAACTGGTGGCTTGGACACACCCCTTAGCAGCTGATGCTTCTGGACAGATCACACCCTGTCTCGGGCTCTCAAAATGAGGGCAATGACATAAGCTGCACTGCTTGCTCATGGGTTTGCTGTGAGGTCCAGACAGGAGTGCATGGGAAATGTTCTGTGAATGTAAACATGGGACAAATATAATTTATACATAACATTGGTAATGGCAGCAGATTTGCAACAAAAGAGGTGAGATTAGAGAGTACTTAAACAGAATTGCAAAGCTAAATGAAGGTGGGTTAATGAAGGAGATTAAAATAGTGAAGGACAAGGAAGAAGTTAAAAATAACAACTACCTTTCACCAAGAGCTCATTAGAAGCCAAGGCTAAGGAAAGTGATCTCCAAACATTGTCTAATTATAGCCAACATTTACATGGCACTGACCTTGTGCCAGGAACTGTTTAAGTGCTTTATGCATGAAACCTCACTGGGTCCTTATAACAACCCAGGGAGGAAGGTGATATTACTGTCCCCATTCTGCACATGAGGAAACTGAGGCACATAGAGCTTAAGTAACTGGCCCAAGGCCACATAGATAGACAAGACTGGGATTCAGACCTGAGCCATCTGCCTTCTGGAATGTGTTCTTAAGTCCTCATGGTCACAATCACACTGCAAAGGAGATATTCTCATTCTATTTCCCAGATAGGAAACTGAGGCTTAGCAAATGTACAAAGCCTGCTTAAAGCCACACTGTGAATAAGTGTACTGAGCCCAGCCTAACTACGCACCCAGCTATTCTTCCCAGTGCGGCAGGAGTTGGGGGGCACTGCACGGATGGGCATGGGGTTCTCTCAGAGGGGCAGCAGCAGACACACCGCCTCTTCCTCCGTGGGCAGAAGGGAGGGTGAGAGCACAGAGGCTGGGCAGGGCCGAGGAGGAGAGGGAGAGGCTGCTAGGAGGCCTCCCTTTCATGGAAGGAAGGGGGCTGGGCCATCTCCTGGGTCAGGAAGTGAAAAGTATGCAGATAGGCACCAGTGGTTGTCCACAGTGATCCCACCCAGCATTGTGGGCTCTCCACAGGTGGCCCACAGGCTCTGAGGGGCTGGCCTGACCGTGGGAGACAGGAGTCCCACCCCTGACACAAGTACCCCTTAACCCCGCCCCTGGCCTCCAGCCTGTTACATAAGCTGCTCCATCCCAGGACTGGAAATAGCCGTGGCTGTGTCTGGCTGGGCTGGGAGGCATGATGAATGGTCCCCAGGAGCATCAGCTGACCGCCCTGTGCTCCTGAAGTGACTTGAGGGCTTGCCAGCAGCTCAGGTTACCCAGCTCTCCCTAGGAGGTGGCCCTGCCTGGCCCGTAGAGGACGGTTCCAAAGTGATTCTGTGTCTGGACATTTATGGTGCGAGCGCCTGAGGGCTGGTCTCTAAGCACTAAGGCAGCTCACAGCCACACCGTGCCCACTGGCAGCCTCTGGAGGCTGGGAGCCAGGTCCTTGCCCAGAGCAGGCACTTAGATCCCTGCAGCCAGCCAGCGCTGGGAGAGCTGGGATCCACGCCTCTGGGTCCTCTGCTAAGGGCTCCCAAGGGAAGAGGAAGAGGAGCCTGAGAATTTGGGGGTGGGGGTGGGGGCTGCAAGGCGCCATTATTCCAGAGCTGCACCCCCCTTACATCCCCATGCCTCCCATTCACAGCCCACTCTGTCACTGCGCTTGTAGTCCTGGGACACAGGGAGGCACCCACACCCTGTTGCCCACTGGAAAGAGCAGAGCCACATGCCCCCTCCAGGGGCCAGGCACACATACCTCTACTCCTGAGAGCACCGCGGCTAGACTTTTGCAGAGGGGGTGTGGGAGGGGGTTCTCCCAGTGTACAGCAATCATGTGCTAAGACTTATGCTTATGGCCACTCCAATCCCATGCCTTTAAGATACCTACTCTTCAAAAAACAAACAAAAATCCTCTCTCTAAAAAAATTAATTAGGCCAGACACGGTGGCTCACGCCTGTAATCCTAGCACTCTGGGAGGCTGAGGCGGGCGGATTGCTCAAGGTCAGGAGTTCGAAACCAGCCTGAGCAAGAACAAGACCCCATCTCTACTGTAAATAGAAAGAAATTAGTTGGCCAACTAATATATATATACAAAAACTTAGCCGGGCATGATGGCACATGCCTGTGGTCCCAGCTACTTGGGAGGCTGAGGCAGGAGGATCGCTTGAGCCCAGGAGATTGAGGTTGCTGTGAGCTAGGCTGACGCCACGGCACTCACTCTAGCCTGGGCAACAACGTGAGACTCTGTCTCAAAAAAAAATTAATGTTTTAAATTAAATAACCTAATTATTCTTCCCCAAATCCTTTAGTGGAATTGGCACTCCTGAGGATCTGGGATGTGTTTACTCTGTGATTCCAGGACCCTCTGACAGATGGGAAGCCCCCAGCTGAAGAGGTGTGGGACATTTTCTAAACTAGCAATGGAAAGGTTAGCCTTTCTTCCTGACCACAGATTCCCTGCCCTGCACAATGATGGCATGGACACACACACACACACACACACACACACACACACAACACATTTCACCACTCTCCTTGGTGCTCAGATGTGTGGGCAGGCCTCTCTTCCAAACTCCTGTGGCAGCACACCCCAGAAGGCCCTGCCTGTGCCCAGGTCCTGCCCATCCCTCTGCACCCTCCTTGTGTGCCTGTGGGACCCGGAGTTCTGAGCCCATGGCCAAGGCACAGGGGAGACAGGCAGTGAGCTAAGGAATACCCACCCCCCTGGTAGGCAAACCTGTCTGGGAAGGGCTTGGCCTCCTCCACTGCCCTCCTGCCTGCCTTGTGTCTCTCCTGGCACTCTCCCCCAGGGGTTGTCACTGGTAACCAGAGCTGGCTCCGCTGGTGAGAGCAGGAGACACGTTGCTTGGCAACAGGGACAGCACACAAGATCCAGCTAATCCGGGCTGTCCCGGTGGGCCAGGCCTCCCACAGCCTGCTGGGCAGCTGCCTGCTGCCTGCAGCATACCCCCAGAGACAGAGATGGAGGCTTAACAACTTCCACTTCTTTCCACCCCAGCAAACCCTAGGTTCTAGCCTGGGCAAGGAGGACCCTTTCGTTTCCCACCCTCCCTGTCCCTCTCCCCTTTCTTGAGCCCTGTCTCCCTTTACAGCATAGTGACATACACAGAGCAAATGAAATGCAGGGCAAATCACTTTACCTCTCTGAACCTCTGATTTCTCTCTGGGAGACAATAACAGCGGCTCAGTATATAGACTTTTTGGCCACGCTGGTCTCTGCTACGTCTCAGCCATGTGACACTGGGCATGTTAATTAACCTTTTGGAGCCTCAACATTAAAATAGTACCCACCTTAGAGGGCTGTTGAAAGAAGAAAGAAGAGGCAAAGTGAGGAAAGTCGTCAGCACAAGGCCATGCACGACTGGGCTGGGCATTCTCCCTTTCATCGCTGGGCTCCAGGCACCTGCCTTATTCTGCTGCTCTAATAAGCCGGGCTGTCCTCTACTTCTGACCTACCCACATACTGTTTCCTCTTCCTGGAACTTACCCCTTCCCCCCCCCCCACCTCCACCTGGCGAATTCCTCTTAGTTTAAAAACTACTTCCTTGAAGAAGCATTCTCTTGTCCACCTCCCACCTAAATCACAGCTACCCATTAAATATCTCATTGACATTCCACATTTCATTTTCTTTTTATGGTTGTGATGGCTAATTTTATGTGTCAACTAGACTGGGTTAAGGGATGCCCAGATAGTTGATAAAGTGTTATCATTTCTATGTGTGTCTGTGAGGGCGTTTCTGGAAGGGATGAGCATTGGAATCAGTAGATTGAAAGATTGCCCTCATCAATGTGAGCAGGCATCCTCTCATCTGTTAAGGGATCGAATAGAACACAAAGGCAGAAGGGTGAATTCACTCTCGCTCTTCTTGAGCTGGGATATTCATCTTTTCCTGTCTTGAAAATCGGTGCTCCTGGTTCTTGCACATGCAGACTCAGACTGGAACCGCTCCGCCTGCTTTCTGGGCCTCCAGCTTTTCAGGTGGTGGGACTTCGGCTCCATAGCCGTATGAGCCAATCCCCGACATAGAGCGATCTATCTCTATATAGACCGATCTATCTCTCTCTATCTCCCATTGGTTCTGTCTCCCTGGAAAACTCTGACTAATACAATGGCACTTATTACTTATTTGCAAGATTGTGTGACGTTAATTTCTCCTGCTGGGCTGTAAGTGTGGGTACTGGCTACATCTGTTTTGTTCTCTGCTGTGTCCCCAGCAAAAGGGTTGGCCTACGTGTTCTCTGAAGCATGTTCGAGTTTTCTGTACCTCTTTATTTCTTCCTTCCCCTGATCTTCAAGTTGACCTAAATAGTTTTTGCACCATTTCTTTAGGGTCACAGAGTCTCCAAGCAAGGGGGTGTAACTGAAAGGGAACTCAAGAATTAAGGACGCTCACCCCTAATTACTCTCCATTCTCAGCACCGGCTGGAATTGATTTGAGGGGGTAAGTCCCCAGACTGGCCCCCTGCAGACTTCGGACCCCTCCTACCTCCCCCATCCCCGGGCGCCCCCCTGCCCGCAATGACGTCTATTTGCAAACACCACCGAGGGAAGCCTTGGCTCCGTGGCTTATTTGCATACTCTCGTGCTACTGGTTGCAGGGGCGGCACGCTAGCCAATGGCTGCAGCGGTGTTTACGAAGCCGCGGCTCCGCCGCGCGCAGCCGGGTGATGTAATGGAATCCTGGCGGGCCGGCGGGCTCCCTGCGGACGGCCCCCTGACGTAGCGGCTTCCCCGGCCCCACCCGGCCCAGCCGGCCTGGCGCGGCGCGGCCGCCCCCGGGAGCGCGGCCTGGGGCTCGGCCTCGCCTCGCAGCGAAGTGGCCCGGCCCTGTTCCTTCCGGCCCGGCGTTGCGGTCGCAGGCCCCTCGGGGAGGGCCGGTCGGGCCAGATCGGATCTCTGGCGAAGCGGAGAGAAATCTGGAAGCCGACGCCAGAGGATTACCAAAGTCCTGCTCCTCTGGGAGTGGGATTGCGGGCTTCTCACTTCGTAAATCAGGCGGTTCTGTAACGTTTGCATTTGTTTACAACGGGCATGTTTGATTTTGTAACATAAAAAAGTTAGAGGATTTTTATTTGTTTTTAATAAAGAGCCCCTGGCGTGGATTTAGGGTTAGGAATCAATGGAATGAAATCTTGCATTGATTCCAGTTTTACCATTGCCAGTCTGGTGACCTTGGCCCCTTTCTGTTGCTGGCCCTGACGGCCTCCCATGGCAACCAGAGAGCAAATGTGAAGGCACCGAGTGGGGCCTCCGCAACCTTATGTAATTTGAAGCATGAAACCCCATCTGGGTGGTTGGTGTCCCCAGACGGCCCCTGATCCCTGGAAGAGCCCCAGGAAAGCCCTGTCTTTGTGTCCCCATTTTTTTTTGCCCTTGAATTGCTCTTAAACCTGGGAGGAGGAGGGACACCCCAGCCAGGTAGGGAAGGGAATCCCCTCCACAGCCCCTCTCCTTACTCAGTGCCAGGGCCTCAACAGGGGAGCCCCTGCTGGGCCCCAGTGAGCTAGGGAACCCCCTTGACATGCTTTGCCCTGCTCTCAGTGTGCCAGGAAGGAGGTGGAGTGCAATGGAGGGGCTCTACTACTGCAGGGTGGAGGGGCTCATGGGGAAGACCCCCAAGAGTGTGGCTGGTGGGCCTGGCTCCCGTGGCTCCCCTTGGCTTCCTGCTTTCTCCCCTCAACACCTGGGCCCTGTCCCTGCCCCATACCTATGAGCTCTCCTCCTTCGGATGCCCTCGCCCCTCTATACCCTGCCTGGTCCTGTCTCTCTGTGCCCCACATTCTCTTCCTCCAGGGAGACCTCTGAGAGTAACCCCTTAGATTCCACCCCAATGCCAGCTTGGTGCCTCTTGGAGGCCACTTCGTGGATCTTCTGGCCATGTTTCATAGCTCTTCTTGTGTTCTGCCTCCCCACTGGACTAGGAAGCAGCTTTCTACTGCAGGACCATGTCCTCTTTGCTTCCCCTCTACTCCTAGCCCCTGAACCACAAAAGAAGCTCACTTTTCTCCCGCCTCAGCCTTCCTATTTGCAATAGGGGCTGTAAAGTAGTTACTGGAATTTTCGTAGAAAGAGGAGGGGCTAGATATGAAGGAACAAGATTGTGGGTAGAAAGAGCACTGATCTGAGAGTCAGAAGACCGGAGCTGTGGTTTTGGTTTGGACACTGACTAGCTGAGTGACCTAGTCAAGGAGACAACAATGGGGCTGAGATTTACTGGACATTTGTAATGACACTAAGAGGTGACATTGCCCCTATATGTGCAGCCTCCTCAACCCCCCAAATAAACATACCAGCTGGACAAAGCTAGGGTAAACACCTTGGATGTACAGCTTGAAGACAAAGTCCCAGCCTTGGCTCTCCCCCAAGTCCTCCTATAGGGAAATGGCAGATCTGTCACTGTATGCCACACTCCTTGTTTCATGCTTTATTTCTACTATCAAAGATACACTCTTAATGACAACCCTGTGAGATAGGTATGTTATCATCTTCATGTTTCTGATGAGGAAATTGAAGCCCAGAGAGGGCAAGTAACTTCCCTGCATTCACACAGCTGGTCAGAGTTGGAAGCCCTTGTGGACTGGGGAAGTCAGATTCCTAGAGGACAGCAAAGAGGGGAACAAACTCTGAGTGCCTGCTATGGATAAGGCACCTCCACAGCTGTGCGCCCTCCCTATAACCAGCGGCAAGCCCCGGCCTCTTGAGCCTGTGCTTCTCCACCATGTCACGCTGCCTGCACAAGCCAGCCAAAGTGTGTGTGTTTTAGAATTACACAGTTTAATATACATTTTATTTGATTATAAATAGGAGAGTATATAATAAAGACAAGTTGTGCTAAAAGAATTTATGGAAAGGAGAGACCTCTGTGGGCTGGAAGCCTTCATGGAAAAACTGGTAACTGAGCCATTTTTTTCCCTTCCTGTCTAAATAAATGTATTTCTCCTACACAGGCAAATATTTTAAAATGTATTTCAAAAGTTAGACTTATGGAACAAGAAAGAAAAAGAGGAGGTGGGGTAGCTGTTTCCTTAGGAAGCCCATTTGAAAGGAGCTGCTGGGTTAGGAAGGGGGGAGAGTGGGGCAAGTGAGGAGAAGCCAGTCCCATGCCCTCCACCCCACACCTTGCCATTTCTGAAGCCTCAGTTTCCTTATCTGTAAATTGACCTAATGCTTGAATCCAGGAGAGAGATGTACATGTTCTGAGAAAGTGATTTTGAGACAAACCAGAGATTCTTGGGATCATTATGAATGAGAGAAAGGGAATTCCTAGCTGTACCAGGAGTTTAGGATAGGTCCAGAAAAGGATTTCTGGAGGTGGGCAGGGGGGTGGGAAGAGGAATTTAGCCCCTGGAATGAGGGCTGAGTGGGGGTGTGGGGCCTCTTTTGGAGAATTTTGAATGCAGGAGATTCTTTGCTGCGTGGGGCCTGGCCTGGGTGCTGGGGATTGTATAGCATGCTCATAATTTAAGGTGGCTCTAAAAATGAGCAGGGGGCTAGTGGCTGGTGCAGCAGGGCACAGGACTGGATCCTCCCTAATGGATGTGTTTCCCTGGCCTCGCCTGTCTGGCAGTACAGGAACAGACATGATAGCCTCCAACCCCACCCAGCCAGCCCCCAGCCCCATTGCTCCGACCGTGGCCAGGCCTTCCTGAATAGTGGCTTCCTGACCAGTTACTCCTGAGTTGACAAGTGTTGGGGGAGCAGGATTTGCCCAGGACAAGGTGGTTCTCTCATTTCCAGAGAGGGCGCCAGTCACATGGGAAAGAGAAACATCCCAAGTACCCCTACTCCCAGGAGTACTGGGAGGCCTGTGCTTGGAGAGTCTGGTCAGTGGAGGGTGGGCCTCCCAGGGCTTCCTGGCCTCTGTGGTGGGTCTCTGAGCACTCCTGTGGATTGGGGAAGCCAGAACCCC